TAAAACTGAGAAACTAATGGAGATGTCAGTGCCCTGTACATTTTCTGCCAAAGAGAAATAGTGGATTTTATTTTCACAGAGGTAGGTTTCTTCATCCTCTCTTGAATGTTTGTTTTGAAAGTTCTTCAAACAGATTCAGGATTACAAGTGGCTAAAAGAAGGAATTTTTTTCTGATGATAAAATTAAATAGTGTGCTCTCAGGAAAAGCCTATTATTTTATCTTTTTTTTTTTTTTTCTTATGAAGGAGGTAAAGAAGGAGTTATTGTCCCATTATATTTCTTTCTGGAAATTTGCATCTAGCTCACTCACATTCCAGCTGAAATCAACTCCCTGACAAAGTATTTGCAGTGCCATTCTTCTTTCTGCCAAAGGCTGCTTAAGTATTTAATTCCATCTACAAATGGGGAAAATTGCTTAGTAAAGTTCTGTTATATTTATTTAATGATTCCTCCCCCCCCCCAAAAAAAAAAAAAAAAAGGCAATACTTTCTCATGATTTTTCAGATTTCTTGTAACTTGTGATCACACCAATAATCTGCTCTTTTACAGACACCTTCACAAAAGGGGTTTTATATCTCTGGCAGGAATGAAGGGTGGGTAGGTAGGGGCTGGCCTTTCCTGCCCCTTTTTTGTTTTTGTTTTATTTTTTTTTGGTGTTATTTCAGTTTGCAGCACAGGCAAGATTATATATATATGGGTTTTTAAATTGTCATTGAAAACATTAATTCTAGGAAAAAAATGCAATGGTGAATGTGATACTGTTTGTGATTCCAAAAACTACTAAAAGTTCAAAATGTGTTAGCCACTGCTAAGAGATGGTTGAAGGAGTTGCCTCATGTAATTTTACTGAGCCTTCAAGTAAATTGGAAAGGTCAAAACAAAGAAAAAAAAACAAAGAAAATACCTTGTAGAATATGAGAGACAGGGAGCTTTAATCTCTGCAGTACCTGCGAGTTTAACAGAAAAATTCAAGCAGCTACAAAAGAGAACCCAAATTAAAGATCTGGTTATGAGCAGGGCATTTTATTTTTTCCAGCATTTGGAGGAAAAAAAACAACATGCAGAGCAAAAAAAAAAAAAAAAAAAGTGTATTTTTTCAGCTTCTGATCTTAAGAGAGGAGAAAAATCCTAGTGCAATAATTCTGTAAATGGTGCCTAATTGCTGGGAAAGCTTCCTCCATTAAGCGCTCTTATTGACACAAAAGCATGGTGCTATAGCGCATTAAGTGGCTCCTGTGAGATTCAGCTGCTTTGTAATTATTGAGCCACCAGTTCTGGACAAAATAAAATCTGCCAGTAATTTTTTTCCTTCCTCAAGGTTTTTGAGTATTTGTGTATCTCACCAGAAAATGCCAAGTTTGAAAATGGGATCAGCAAATGTCACATCTTCAATTTAAAGTGAAAGAACAAAACATTCATATATCTATATTTGTGCTTTATCATTCTGGCAGTGGGAAAAAAAAATGTCTTTTATTTATGTTTTTTTTTTTGAATACCTATTTATATCCCAATGGAGTTCAACACATCAGCTTCCCTCTTGCCTCATAATCTTAAAGGGCTATTTATAAACTAACAAGATCTGATGACTGTTACCTTTTTACTTAGAGACTCCGGGTAAGTGGAAGCAGTTATCATGTTCATTATTAAACTGGAAACGTGGCTGGTCTCTTAGGATTAAGGGTGGAGCTTGGACTTGTGCAAACCATTTGTCTGGTGCATCCTAAAACAGGAAGAGCTGTGGGACTGATAGTGGTTTCAGCTGACACGAGACACTTAAAAAGGTGACAAACTGGAAACAATAAATAAAAGGGGAAGGGCATTATCTGGCTGCAGCAGGTGAGAGGTAGCACCTCGGCTTCTGAAGTTCTTTTCAGTTGAGCACTCTCATGTACTGCCTGCCGAAATGAGCGAGTGGGTCAGAAGTGCAGGGAGCAGTTCAAGGGAAAGGTTTACAGATGTGCTAAAACCTAGGACTTGAAAATATCTGAAGTTCTTCAGGGCTTTCAGGAATTCTTCTCTTCTTTCCCAAAGTAGAGATTTTCCACCTTTTCTAAATGAGCAGTTAAGGCATTTCAGTTTTGTGATGGGATATCATGAGAAACATCATGAATCTCGAGGAGCAGGATGTCCACTCCCAAAAAAGCCATGGTTTAAAAACAAGTCTAGATGGTTCTTGACTCCCATCACTTGTAATTCTGCTGTGCTCAGTGACTTTACTTCTGACTTGCACTGGTGGAACTGAAACCAGGATCAGTTTCTTTGGCTCAGGCAGCCTCCGCTGAGTTGTAGCACACATTCTGAATGCAGATGCAACTGGAGTTATTAGATTGTTTTAGAAGCATCTCCATTCCTTTTGTATTGCATCCTGGCAGCAGCCATTTTTATCTCCATTGCTGTTTTCATGCATTGAAAGACTATGCAAAATACATAACTGGACATCACTTTTCATTCTGTTCCTATCCCTGTCTACCCTAATGGCTGAGATCCGTTTCTGATTTCTGTTCACTCTTCAGAGGTTTTACTGTTGTATCCTTGAAGTGTCTGTACTGGTTTACTTTGCACCATTCAGAGTTGTTTGCTTGGAGCACTGTTAACATTTCGGAGAGTATTTGGGATGAGCAAGGTTGTGAATGACATTGTTGCAACTGTTTTAAATTAAAAAGAAATATTCTCACTTGTGGCTGTGTGGATTCTTTCTTTCTTTCTTTCCTGTCCAAACTCAAGAGGAGTAGACTGAACATGTTCTGATGCTGCCTCTTTTCTTACTTTCTGTGGTCATGTTTGGTGTTTTACCTAAAAACCTGCATGGGGAAACAAAGAGGTTTGTGACAGACTTAATCTCTTCTGGCAATTCTCTGGATGGCAAGAAACAAAAACCTTAAAATCCCCTCTGCCTCCCGAAACAAACAAAAACCCAAGTGCAGAATGGGTATAATGTGGCAAAACTAGAAAATAGGATTTCCATTGCTAATTTTTTTGTTTGCAACTTTTAAGCCAATTGAAGTTCTTTGAATATAAGAGTTGGCAATGTTCACATGGAAGAGTGCTGTCATTTCGCTCCATTTCCTGCTGTTTAATTATAGCTTTTTCTTGGTCTGTAAGTCCTCATATTCATTTAGGAATTTGACCTGCTGTTCTGTAAAGGATTGTTTTTCTTCATGCATAAGGGATTCACATAGCAGCGTGACCACTGGGATCTTTGGTAGATGCAAGAATAGGCCAAAAAAGGAGACTGATGGATGGCAACCCTTTGATCTTTTCACAGGATCATGGGACCATGAGCTGGAGGAGATGCAAGAAGTGAACCTACCAGGTTTTGAGTGACATTTTCTGACATGGAAGTAGGGGCCATGTGAAGAGTTGAGTGATGACAGGAAAGGTAAAGATGGTTCAGCCCTCAAAGTCCAAATGTAATGATCTCTTGGTTCTTCTCTATCACAGATGTTCTTTGTGATCACAACAAGTCACTCTGCATCGTATTCACACCACTTAAGCAACTGGAGGTGAGGGAATGTGGCTCCTTGTGCAAGCTAAGGGGCAAAACTTAGGGCTCTGCTCAGACTTCATGCGAGAATTCCTGTGCAGAGTTGTGACCGCTGACTTTTGCGGACTGCTTGGGGAAGGCAGTATTAGATAACTGACAAGTGAGTACCACCCCTGGTCTCTGCTCCGCATCACTAGAATGGAAAATAACACCTCTGTCCCTCAGGTGTGCTACCAGCACGACATGGGTAAGCGAGGCACTGACAGCTGTGATGAAAAATGAGTGCTATAAAAATACAGAGGACAGATAATGTATGGCTGACAGCTGTGTGCAGTAGGTGATTATATTTTCAGACTGTTTTGCCAGTGTCCTTCGCACTGATTTTTTGAACAGTTCTGTGTGTAGGATTTCTGCTCAGCCTCTCTCTTGCTTTAACTTCGGGACTGCAGTGCTGTGCTCCTGGTCTGTGTTTGCTACAGAGCACATAACTAATGGACACTCCAGCTTATTCTTTGTTGGTATGCTTGAGCAGCAATAAAAGGGGTCAGGCCTCCAGATCTATCCCAACTTTGTACCCTCTCCTCCCCCCCAGTCCCACATACAGCAAAAGCACCAGGCTGTCACATCTATTCTGTCAGCAAATTGTGTGAAAGCCAAAACTAAAATTACTGCCAACTCCCACGGTGGTTTGTGGGAAGTTGCTTTGACTAATGATGTAACATACCTTTAAGAACACTCAGGATGAGGCTGCGAATCTGACTTTTTACTTTGAAGTCTATGCATTCACCATGCTATGTTGCACTAGGCAGGATATAGTTATATAGAAAAGCTCTTCCTACTATCAGAATAAAGGAAATTATATGTTTTCTGAAGAATTACTTTCATGACATTATGAAGAACAAGATTTGGAAGTTTTTCCATTCAAATTCTACAGCATGTGCTTGATTTCTGCTTATTTTACTTCTATAAAAAGCTCTTCCTTTGCCAGTCTGCCAATCACTGATAGTTGGCTTTTTTTTGTCTCCTAGAAGACTGTTTTGTAATATTAGTTGTGCTTTAATTTTGAAGTGTGAAGTTGCATGATCTCAGGAAAAATTCTCATATACTTCTTTCCATTTTCCTCATTTGGAGTGTATGTGCAACCTCCTTTGGTCCAGTCCTCAGCTAGTATAAATTCTAGATGTAAATATAGTTGACCAATGTGTTGAAATAAAATAAAATAAAATAAAAAATTAAAAAAAATAATAATTAAAAATAATATATATATAAGGTTAATCAAACAAACCAAAGCCTCACCTCAGAGTAACTTGATGAGTTTATTAAAAATCTTTTGATAAGGAAAAAAAGCCTTTTCTGGGCTTTATTTTTAACCAGAGAAGCACTACTATGTCATAAACAGTAGGAAAGAAGACCTCATATTAAAAATCCTTTATTTCACTTGGAGAAGTAGGTCCCTCTTTTCATTTCAGGTAATTAAAGTCAAAACCATCATCAAATTGAGAACAGATTTGGAAATATTTGAAGCCACAGACAAAGTTTATTTTTAAAACATATTTAAAAATTGCACAGTTATAAATACAGGTAAATAAATACAATTCAGTATGTGGAAAAGAACCCAAGGAAGGCATGCTTCCATTACAGTACAAAAATACTACATTAAATGTGGTGCTCTGCAAATAGTCATCTATGAGCTTAATAAATTTAACACATCCAATATGCACGTAGTTCATTTCTGAGGAAATAGATTATTTTAAAGAGCAGTGCAAGGAAACATCAACGTAAAGCATCAGTAAACTACAGCTCTGTGTTTAATATAATACACAGCTGATAATGCACTAAGTATACAGAGGCGAGTTAGTTGTAAGAAAGGTATTTTTTACTCCTCATGTACTTACAGACCCAGGTGCTCGGTCTGGGTCGGTGTGGACCTTTGTAAGGGAATGTAAACATTCAGGTGTAGGGCTGAGCTCCCACCTCCACGTGCTGCACCCTGCACGTCCACCGACCCATCGACAGAGGCGTTAAGTGAGCAATGTAAGTCTGTGCAGCAGCAGGGCTCCTCTGACAGCCCAGGTGAAAGTATCTGCCAACCCTAGAGTCCCTTCTTTCCTGTATGTTGGCTTAAAAATAAAGCCAAAAAAACTGATGCAAGATAGCAAAGGTTTTTCAAACAGTTTACAGCATATAGAAGAAGCTGCACAGAATGCCTTTCAAAACTATATAGTTTTATTTGAATCTAGATATGTTATACTCTGATATATAAAATATATTTATAAATGTTTTGATTTTTCTGAATTTACAATAATTACTGATATTAAAAAGGCTATTTAAATTAAAGTTTTAGCCAATGTCAATGACATTCTGTAAATGTGGAAGGGGAAAAAAGATCAAAGCACATTAAATCTTGACCATGCAAGCTTGCTGTCACATGTGCAAGCATTTGTAAAGTTACAGCTTATTTTAGGAAACTTTAGGTTCCTTCTGTCTCTCTCCCAGGCATAGTACCTATTGCTCTGTGGGCTGAGGCTCTGAAACTTTCTGTGGGTTCTGCGACATTTTTCATTTTGCCAAGGTTTGTTCAAAGCATCTGTGGTCTCTACATGCATGGCGCTCTTGTGTCTGATTTATTTCACCAGTCCAAAAATAGAACCATAATGAAGTAATTTGATTTCTAGCATAGATGAGGTTTGGATAGTAGATAACACTATTGCATATCCACCCGTCAGTTTTTTTCACAGCATGCAGTGCATTTTGTCTATCACTTCTGTCTGTGAATACTTGGTATTTTACAAACATAATTACATAAATTCACTGTACAGGCTGCAAAGCTGACAACACTGGTGACCAGAAATCTCCGTTTGTCAACTGCGCAGGTTATTCATGTGAAGAAACTAATATGTCTCATTTTGCAGATGCACGTTCAGGCAAGAGAGATCTACAACCAATTTGTGTCAGTCCAATTCTCACTGGCTGTAACAGGCAATGATTTAGGCCTCGATCTTTGCTTCTGTGGCTGCTGGTAATGTCAGCAGCTATTATTCCTGTCATGGGGGCCTGTGATCCTATGAATGTTTGTGGAGCACCTGTTGGTGTTGTTAGGGCCCTCCTTTCCACCTGGCAGACAGGCCCAAGTTTTCCAAATTGACTCATTAGCTCTTCGTGCCTGATGTGCTGAGCTTTCTGCTGAATTGAGTGTCTGCAGCTGAAACCCATGCATACAGCAGGTGCTCAGATCCTGTGAAGTTTTACATGTACATTGCCCAGAGAAGCTGTGGATGCCCCATCCCTGGAAGTGCCCAAGGCCAGGCTGGATGGGGCTTTGGGTAACCTGGGCTAGTGGGAGATGTCCCTGCCCACAGCAGGGGGTTGGAACTGGATGGTCTTTAAGGTCTCTTCCAATCCAAACCAGTCTGTGATTCTCCAACTTTCAAACAGGGTAGTCAGATAGCAGGCAGCCTTCAGAGCTAGTGGGCAAGTTTGAAAAGCCTGGCCGTGTTACGTGTAGAGCAAGACAGTAGTTGTTTCAATGGCTCTGGGAATCTTTTTCTCTGGTTTGGTGCTACCTGGGTTAGGCTAGTAAAGAAAATAAGAAAATCTAAACATACAACTTCCCCGGGAAACCTGCACACATTTGGCTTTCTGATTCTGAAGAGGGTACCAAAATTTGTCTGCAAAAGCAGTTACTGCAGATGTCTGTCATTCATTAAAGACTTCAAGCAAACGTGAGATCCACAACACGCAGCAATTTCTAAGGATGGGATTTAAAAAGGGCTCTGTGTTTTGTCTAAACTGTGACAAATAACCTGAACTTGATTTTGAGTTCGGAAGATGCAAAGTGCTTTTAAAACATTCCATAGAAGATACTAATTAATAGCTTTAAAACACCCGATGTGTGTCTTCTGCATGCATTCTCTAAATGCTTACTCAAGTAGCAATGCTGCATGCTTAGTATTAGTATTTCACTACGGTTATTTGTTAGTGTAGTTGCATGCACTATTGTCACATGAGGTTTTGTGTTACAGGAACTTTCCCCTCAGTATTTTTAAAAGTGCTGTTATTTGTCAGGTCTTAATAAAATGCCATTGCATACAGATATGTATGTGTTTACCTGAAGATCAAACCAACACTTTAAACTGGCAAAAAACAGTCTACTGCAACAATGGGTTTAATCATTACCATTTAAAGAGATCAGCAAGAAATGAGCCTATTGCTTTCATTGTAAAGCTTCACCCCATAAATAATCATTTTTATTTCAGTGACTGTTAAACATGTGCAGTGGTATCAGAGGCCAGCCCTCATCAGGTAGCTGTATCTGAGCTGATCAGGCAAAGACTTTCAGTGTTTAGCAGCTTGATGGATCAGACTTGTTATAAATATTCATAAACTTTTGCAGAGGAGAGGGCAGACAGAAGCTTGGGTTAGGAAAGTGCTTTTTAATTGCATGAAATATGCAAAAGAGGAAAGACTGAAAAATTGGGAGTCAATTACCTGGCAGTGATAAATCACCTCTGGAGAAAGAGGGGAGTAAGAACAAGGGGAAGCAGGAGTGGGAGATGCTGATAAACCATTGCAGCACTCTAATTTGGTACCACCCCATAGTTGCTCTACAGTTGTAATCCTGGAATGTCTCAGGGTCTCTTCGTTTCTGAAATTTCTAGTCTTTATGTAAAACTGTTTCCTTACTTAGAGCTGAGCAACCCTGTACTCCTGTGTTGCCTTCTCTGAATTTACGAGTGACCTCAGGCACACAGCCTGTGGAGACAGCAGCATTCCCCTGCTCTCGTACAGTGCCATCACGTACAGTGCCACACAAGGGCTGTTATTTGCCCTTCCTTTCTTGCACACCTGGGCAAGTTGGGGACTTGGTGGATCTCACAAGGAGCACTGAGAAGAGGATCCAGATTTCCTGTCTCTCACTCTCAGGCTCAATCTGCTATGGTTCAGCAGCCTTGTTATTTATCCTGCTTCGTGCCTGGTTAGAAGTACAAGTAGATGCATTTCCTTTTCAAGGTGTTAATATGCTGCAGGCTCTTTACATTTCCTCTTGCTGTTACAGGCAAATACACATGCTGGCTACCAAAAATGCAAGAAACTACATGAGGTGGTCAGATCAAAGCTGTCTTGTGTGCTGACAGGGTTTGGCAGTGGGGGCTAAAGGAGGACGATAAAGCCCAGGACACTGAAGCGCACCCAGCACTAAGTAAGGTGAGCTATGTATCAGCGGTCGCTTTCCTGCACAGGCCAGCACAGAACTGGTGTCTGGCAGTGTGCGAGATGTGCCACTGCCCCCAGGAAGCCTGCTTTGGTCTCCCTTGCACAACATGTTGGTCAGTGGTAGCCTACGGCCAGCTGAGCACCTATCTGAAACAGCAGAGAACTGCTGGGGTAATCTCCAAGAGTGCACACAATCTTTGGGTGGGATTTTGGAGCCCATGTCCTGTACAGCGGGACTGCGTTGCTTCTGGTGAACTGGGGACTTGAGTATCCTCAGGGGGCAGAGTTCAGCCCTTGTGTGTTTTTTGCTAGGTTTATGCAGGCAGCTCTCCTCACATGGGAGTGGACGTGTACTGGCACAGGAATGCAGTTTTGAGCAGTGCATCCTAGGATAAATCAAGTTACCTACTTTTTTGGGGGTGGCTTGGGGCATGTGAACTAGAGTTGCATTAGGTTTTCCTAACAGAATTGCAATGTTACTCGTACACATGCTAGGAAAAAAAAAAAAAAAAAAAAGGTTTAGCGAAGTCAAGCATTTAAGTTTGTTGATTTGAAAGGTATAAAAATATAACTCTTGAGCAGCTCATTCCTCTGGATATGCACTAATTATCCTACCACACAGAGGATGTTCAAGAACGTGTGTGATGGCAGGGCATCAAGGAAAATCTAAGCACATATGCCTTTGCTTTACAGCCTCTTCTCAAAGCTGCCTCCCTTCTCTCTTATCACTCTCCAGATTCAATTGCACTGCACCTTCTGCTCTGCCTTATCAATAAAGGGCTGTCATCACACATCGCTGTCAAAGCAAAAGAGCAAACTGTTGTCAGCAGATATGCATACAGCAACCCACTTAGCTAAAATGACATTCTCAGGCAGTCCTTGATAACCAATCCTTAGAGGAAATTGCAGGAATCAGTTGTTATATGCTTGATAGATAAACAGGAATAGATATAAACAACAAATTAATAAAGCACTATTAAAAATTTCCTGTAGCTATTTCAGCACCTCTATTCTGTGGGAGAGAATGAGGAGTAAACCTCCTATTTTTAACAAAACCCAAACAAATTATAGTTGATGTTTAGACGCAGTGATTATGCTATTTTATGTGAAATGTTATTTTAAGTGGTTGCTCAAAATAACAAATAGCTGCAAGAAAGTTTAGGCTTGTACCAGTGAAACTGCTCAATGCACATGGAACTTTGTCCATTTTGCTTTTTAAACAGCCGATTGAGCTTTTTTTCTTTTTTTCTCCCCACTGCTGTTTATAGGAAATGTGCTGCTTGTCCCACTTCGTCACATTCCAGTGGCTACCCTGCACGTTACATTCCTGACCATGAATCGACACAGTAGCCACCCAATTACATTTCATTCTTCCACTGTTTAAAAAAAGTATTAAAAATATTGGCAACTGAGAGTTATCCCCATAAAAATGATATTCCTGTATTTGATTGACGCATTTACCTCAAGCTAAATGTTTGCACTGTGCCCAAATCCATCCATTCATCATGTGGCAGTGCAGCCTCCTCCTTTAATACTGTACCTCATTCATCCAATCAGGGAAAATTAAGATGATATGCATACATATCTTTAAGTAGCTACAAATACTGATGTTTTCTAAGGAATCAGTCTGCTAAATTCTGTCATTTAGTCATAGAGTTCACTGAAACTTTTGCTACTGTTTGCCATAACAGCGGGATTAAATCTCAGTTCCAATCCTATGAGCATTATTTAGACCATTCTTTTCAGGAAAAAAAATCCTTCAAGCACGGTCTGCAGGCATTAACTCCTATAAAGACTTTTCTTTATTTTCAATAAAGATCTGTGGCTTATTATGTTCTGAAATGACATAATTCACATAATATGTATGTGCATGCACATGCATGCATGTAGTACCTGATGCATAATAGAATAATCTTTCTAATAGATATTGCAATTTATACTGTATTTGCATTTTTTAAACATAAGAATATTGAAAACCCTCTTATCACATTTCAGGAAACAATATTTGGTCCTCTATGCCAACAAGGCTATCCTGTACATCCTGCTGTTAGTAATTAAAATAAAGCACAGCACAATTTTACGAAAAGAAAGATTAAAGTGCATAAGTACACATAGATAGGTGCAGATCCTGCTACGAGCTCCTTAGAAGCAGACATACTCTGTCCATGGTCAGAGAGAGCTGGTTTAAACAGCAACAATTCTAGTGCAAATTACTGCTTCTGCTTGAAACACTTGTCCTTCCAATATATACATGGCCTAATCTCATAGACCTCCATGTACAATGTTCTTCTTAATATTGCACATTGTTTACAACACTGTGAGCCTGCAGAATTTGGCCCAGATTAATTAAGGTACCTTCAGAAGCAAAGATTTTCTTGACTGCCAACTAATAAATATATTCAAAACAAAATACATCCATTTTACATGCATCTATTTTCAGAGCTATGTTGAAGATGGACCTCAAAAAGATTTTTCAAAGAAACTAAAAGGACAGGGAATCCACGTTGTAGGGCAAAGTGATGTCAGTATAGTGTGATGAGCTGCTAAGCAGGTTTCTTGGATGCGTTGCTTGCCATTCTACATGTGCAATAATGATTACCTAGGTTTGTTTGTAATATATTTTTCTTTGTATAGCTGTGTACATATAGAGAGAGATAGCTTGCATGGGATGAAGATTCTTCAGAAAAGGCTATTTCATTGAGTTCAGGGCTCTGTCAGATTAGCTGCAGCTCATTTTGATCTTTTGAGTTTGAGCCTATTTACAATATCTTGTGCTTTTGAACTTTTCCTTTTTGAATAATGTCCGAGAGAATTCCCCTACCGATCTACAGCTGTGATCATTTGGAAGATGTTGTCATTTTGAGATGAGTAATAAAAGAGTTCTCTGTTTCCTAATACAACTTAATCAATTTGTGGATGCTTTTTACTACGGCTCTAGATTAAATGCTCTTAATAGAATGTCTAGATCACCCACATTGGCAGCTTGAAACAGTTCTGGCTGGTCCATCATAGACAGAGCAATTCGAAGCGCTGCCCAAATATTGCCTGATAAAGCAGGATGGGGAACCTGCTGTAGATTCCTGCTCTTTCTTTGCAAGCTGAGAGCAGTGAGAAAGTTGCTGACAGCCTCTCTGTAGGAAAGAAGAAAAAAGAAACATGCAATATAATTTGCTTAATGAATAGCTTAAAACTTTAGGAAATGCCATGCTAGAATTGATTTTTTTTTTTTTTTTTTTTTAAACAATGCAGTTCATCAATCTCTCTTTATTCTTGCTTGATTTGCTTTAAACAAGCAGACATGGCTTGCACTAATTCAGAGTTTTTTATTTATTTATTAGCTAATTCATACATCTGGGGAAGTTGTCTTCATTGCTGTATAGCTCCCCTTTACCTTAACTGTCTTAAGCTGACAGTTGGGACCCTTTTTCGTAGACCTGGAATATCACCCTTGACTCCTGAAGGACGTATTAAAAGTGGTTTTGACAGGATTAGCAACTTGAAACAGTTTAACTGAAGTTTCCTTTCTAAAGATAGGCTTTTAATATTTTCTTTTAGAAAATCTCTTAAGGTCTAAGTTTAAGTGTGAGAATAATCCCACTGATTACTATTAGAGTACTTGCATTTACAGCTTAAAATTGTTTAAGCAGCTTGTTGAATGAGAGATTTATGTTTTTAATAGAAAGTCGGTAGTTCTGTTATGTAGGATGTGTGGATATAAGAAAGGCATTGTTCATTAGTGCTTTGAGTAATTTTTTTTTTTTTACAATGGCTGAGATTAATGAACTATACTCTGAGATAGTTCTACCTAGAAAATGAATTTTCACTTGATAGATATGATCCATGACTTTTTAGTTTATGCATTTTTCTAACTTACCTGTATGCCCCTAGGTTGATGCAGCTTATGCCTAAATTGTATCTGGACCTAATGAAGCCAGGCTGTATTTCTAAAGCGCGTGTGTAGGCCTCAACGGCTTCTTCGCTTCGATCTCCATTTGCCAAGGTTGCTCCAAGACGGTTCCATAATGTATAGTCCTGGTGAGAAAATGAGTTTTCTACTGTAGGTGTCAAAAGAGGGCTCAATAATAGCTCATTTTTGATTGCAAAGTAGGGAGGACTGCAGAAAATAACAGTATCATGTCTTTTCTTAATTGACACAGAATGGGAGGTTCTGATTTATGATTATAGGCAACTTTATATAACTGGTACAATTAATCAGCACACAGCTAGAAATTGGACATATATAAATCTGTTTCTAAATGGGACTGTCTTGTAATTAACATTTCTATTTCAGGTATTAAAATTTTAATGGCTGAAATGACATCTCATTAATATTGGTCTGTTCAAGAGGCAAGAAAGAAAACAGCCTGTAAAACTAAATTCTTAAAAATATAAAACCAAAAAGCGTACCTCTGGACGAACAGTTAAAGCAGCACTAAAAGCATCTATTGCTCTGTTAAATTCTCCATTCAGGTGGAAAAGAACTCCAAGTCCTGTCTGCAAGTCAGGGTCTATCATATCACCATTCTGATGAGCAGCCTCCAGGTATAAATCCTTTACTTCTTCAAGTAATGAGCTAGACAAGGGAGAAAAAAATAACATAAAGTTGCATCTTACATTTTTTTTGGAAACATTGCAGTATTGATTGCATAGCCAGAAATTAAAATTCTTGTATTGGATGTATCAGAAGTGATATATCCCTAAAATTTGAAAATAAGCTTCTTTAACTTCATCATGGCAAAGGCTTACTTCCAGGTCCTGTAGCAAACTTATTTCTGAAATACAAGAGTTTATCTATGTAATGAAGTCAAAGTGCTGCTACGAATCCAAGTAAGAAAACATGAAGGCTTACCAAAGCTATTAAAATAGGATGGGTTTCTCAGCAGTAAAAGAGTTCTAGACTGGAAAAATAGTAATCATTCTTAAGAGGTGTAGATCGACTAACTACCCAAGACCCCTGTAGAGCCATAATTAAAGACTTCTATACCCACTGTAGGCTTCATAAAGCCTTCACACTGACAACAGTGGGTGATGAGGCCACAGCAGAATAATGCACTTAGCAATTAAGCAGAACTTGCATATTTTACTTTTGCTTATACTAAATTATCTTGTCAACCCAAGGCTTGTAAGTGATAAGGGTAAAACATAAGGCCTGTCTTCCAAATGACACGCAGTGAGATAGCCCTAGTGTTTTGGTTCTATAAATGATATTTAAGCCTTTAATGACTTTATGATGCATTTCACAATTCAGAGATATTTATTGGGCTCATGAAAACATGTTGAAGGGCTGCCAACTAATGGACATTTTTTTTGAATGCACCATCATTTGTAGTGGTCATTACATTTCCGCCATCAGGATTTGTGCTGCATTTACCTTTCTTCTGATGTTTTTGACATTCTCCTGGTAAGTGCTGGGGACCCTTTTTTGCTTTTTGCTATATACTTGTATTTTGGATTTTGCTTTATCCAGTTTCTTAGAGCTTGATAAGCTTCTTGTTGATGGCCAGTGTTGGTATAACTTACAGCTAGTGCCATCAGAGCTTTTAGGTTGTTTGGCTGTAGTTCCAAGCACCTGGGCAGAAAATAAAAATATTTTGATTTTTTTTTTAGCCAAACACAATTCTTGAATTCTTTCACAACAGCCTGTGTAAAAAAATAATCAATCACTCACACAAATAAGATCTAACCAATAATACTTTCATTATGAGCATTATGCACGTGTATACACACACATATGCATGCATATGTCTGTGCATACACACAAGTGTATGCATATAAACATATATATATAGGTTATGTTTTCAATCTTTTGGTTATGAGTACTCTGATGGGGTAGACTCATTTTATATTAACTGTCTAGTAAATAAAAAGAAGCTTCATGTAAATTCAAGGAAACAGTTTAATATGATTTTCAGATATATAAAAAAAGTATTTTGAAGACAGAAATCTCTCTCCTATGAATCTTGACACTGACGTTGAATTCACAGTAATTCTTTGATAATGCTAGAGCCGGTCAACTTGAGTAATCTTTCTACAGCTATATATATAATGAAATGAAAACAGAATCTGGTCTATTGTTTGAATGTTATTGTTTTAAATCTGTGGGAATGGGAAAGCCATCAATCAGGCAATCCCTTGGTTTCACTATCAGGTGATACACTAAGTTACAGATAAATGAGTTAGAGTATCCTTAGGTGAAGTGACTTGATGGTTAACATTGCTAATGCATTGAATTTGGAGAGGGTACTTGTTTCAAGTGGAGACATGAAAACCCACTAGAGAAAGGTAATACTAATGCTGATATTTTGGAACTGATGTTTTACATACAAGCATAAGATCATCTTTATATCTCTATCAACCATAAATGTTCTCAGGTTAGAATTCAGCTGCTGGAGGGTGCTCATTCCAATTAAGAAAACTGCTTCATTAAAGGACAGATGAAAAAAATATGCCAAGTGGCTACAGTATCAAAAAGAGGCTTTATTTGCATTATGCCTAATTCATGTTTATCAGGCCACATAATTTTTCTTCTGAGCAACTAATTACATTACTAGATTAAATGTTGTACTTATTTCATTTAACAGAAATATTAATCACTCTGAAGTTATTGTGAAGATTTCTGTACCTATGTCAATGCTTTACTTAGTTAAATAAATGCTTAATGTTACAAGTATGAGGTTAAGTATACCTACATCTCCAGTACCTAATACTCATTAAACCCCTTACTTAGCAATTATCTTCATCTACCTTTGGAGGGCGACAATGGCTGCCTGCTCATTTTCATTCTCTGCCTGTGTTATACCCAGGAACTGCCAGGCCTGCAAAAATAATCATCACTGTATTATTTTGTTATATATACCCAAGCACAAGCAGAGTTACAATTAGTATCACTGTTCAGCAGGGAAGTAAATAAAAATAGATCTGTTCTAATTACAGATTTTTCTACGGTGAACATACCAACAGAACAAATCAATGCAGTTTTGAATATCTTTGGGCCTGTTAATTTTTATAATCAATCAGTGCAAAGGTATTCTGTCAGTGCATAATCACATGATGTTTTCTCAAATGTGAGTTACTGTATATTTTAAATATAACTAGACTTCTATGGAAAACAGTGAAGAATAACTATGAAGTTGTATAGGACTAAAGGATTCCAGAAGGTCTGGGCTTTTTGAAATACTGCTGCTTATTTTACCGTAGCAAGAGATTCAAGGAAACCTAGATACTTACATTGTAATTATTGTTAATATTTTTCAGGTTTCACAGAAAACAGACTTTAAATATATACCCATTGAAAAAATCAATATTGTAGAAATTGATATAACTTTAAAGTTTTTGTCAACATTCTTGTTCAATCACTCAATGGCTTTTTCAATAGCAATGTTTAATAGTTTGAAAACATCAGGAAAAAAAATGAAAAGTTTGAAATATTGTCTCTTCCAATGCTTTTAAATGACAACTTGGAAATTCTATAATTTCAAGATTAGATTCTCGTTTTATGAAGAGCTCACCTTTATCTATTTCAAGGCATATGCTATTCCAAAACCATTATTGTTCAATCTGTTTCAGTCAGTCATGACTAGAAAAGGTTTGAGCCATGAAACCATTCCATCTTTGCATGCTAAAGGGTGTCCCCTTTTCCTTTGTCAACAAAAGGCACAAGAGTGAATACCTCTGCATCATTTGGTTCTTGCAGAATAGCAGCCTCCAGGTACAAGATTGTAACTGGCAGGTCACCTTCTTTCATTTTTTTCAGTCCTTCCTCAAAAGCACCTGGCCAGTCTTTGAAGGGGTTTTCTGTATGAAAATAATATCCCTGGAGAAGAGAGTTAAGGGACCCATGATGAAGTACTGCAGTAAGGAATAGCAACTGTAAAATTAAACGATTCACAATTTTCCAAATGGATGTAAACATCCTTTGTTCTATGAAAAAAAGTATGAGCTACTCTGTGAAATTTAAATTACAAGAATTGCAAAACAAAAACAAACAAAGAAACAAAAAACCTAACCACCACTGGGAATTTATATTGTGCTCTCTGTATATTTATTTTAGCTCTGAAGTTATTCTTACTGATACTCATGTTGGACTCTCCATCAAAGATAATGTCCAAGCTCACACTGACTGCAGTAACAGCGGAACTGAACCTCACATGAGCCCAGGACATCCAATTTGATGGTTAAAAGCACACGTCAAGTGGTTGACTCCCTGTGGTGACTGTAACCTGATCTCTGTTCAGTTACTACCCTGAAATCTTCAATTAACCTTCAAGATATAGAATGGTGTTTCAACCATCTATTTTAGGATTATTTTTTTTTTTAGATTTTGCATTTTTATCCCTTTGCCATTGCAGTGTGAAGTGTGTATGCTACATAACATAATCAAAAGTAAAGCATGCAATATGGAGGGAGTGAAGAAGAGAGACAGAACATGTCATTCTTATTCTCTGAAAGTGTCAGCCCAGATTTTCTTAGTATTTGTTGCTCTTCCTTAAGCACCTGTCTTCAAAGTGCCCAGAATCCAGCAGTTTGCTTTGTGATCCATTTGGCTGAATTCACACAGCGTGCATGTCTAAGTGTGTTCTCACTACAGTAGTCTTCCAAATCTACTCTACTCAGACACTTTAAAGAGGATGAGCTCTTTAGGGTAAAATTAGCTTCCTTATCTTCGAAGAGTTTTCCTGGGTTCCCTTGAACAGCTGAAGCTCATCTAAAAATTTCACAGGAAGGATGTGCTGTATTAAAAACTTTGTGTTACCTTCTCAATGGTTGAGATGGTGACTTGCCCCGGTGCTTCCTGGTTCTCCGAAATCCAGTTCCTGCGAGCCATTTCTTCCCATTCTGCTTGCATTTTATCCCAAAACTCTGTGTCTGACTGGAAGAAAAAAAAAAAAAAAAAAAAGAACAAAATGAGCAACAAAACTCTAAAATAAAATGGTAAGCTTTTAATTTCTTTCTACCAGTGGCCTGAGTCTGGCAATTTTGCTGAGCAGGATTTGTTCTATTAATAATCATACTGACCAAAATACTACAGTACAAATTTGGAATTCCATATAATTAAATTTAATCTCCTATATTGGAATGCGTTTCTTCAACAGAAATCTCTTTATCTCAGAGGCAGCATATGTTCTATTTGGAGCAGGATTTGCAGCAGCTTACACTACATCGCACTGATGCTAACAGCAAATTGTTACATACAATTTGAATGAAATGAATACTGCCCCCAAAAAACTACATGCAAACCCACAAACAAAACAAAACAAAACCAACCCTATGCATACACGTTAAAGCATAACAATAGATAAACCATTTTAAAACAGAACAAGCATACTACTTTGATAGATTCAGCATTTTCTACTTCATAAAAGAGTAATGACAAAGCTTAGACGGAGAGTGTTTGCACAAGAGAATTCAAATTAAATGTCTTTTGACATAATGGAGGAATCCCAACACATCCTGCGCTGGTGAAAGGAATCTGTAAGAGCTTATAAAATTGTACAGTAAGGCTAAGATTTAGCTGAAAGTCAAGAGGGGAAAACATAACAGAGAAATAGAAATGATGAAAAATCAATGAGGTTTAGGATGGGTAACAACCAGAATGAAGGAACCAGCGTGTTTGCTAGAAATTGATGTGAAGAAACTGAAACAGGACAAAAAAAAGAGGGGGGAATCCAAGATAAGGTGCTATTTTTTCTGCTGCTGCATGTTAGTCATAGCCCTGAAATGCAGTCCCGTAGCAGAATATGTGCTAAACACCGCAAGCCTTTGCAAAGTTCTCCAGTTCATTAAGGGCATGGCCAGTGTTTCAGTGAACCAGCACTACTGAGGGTGCAGTTTCATAGTTTGTTTATGTCAAAGAGAATAGCACAAATAACTCTACTGAGATATAGACAGACCTACTTGAGAGTGAGGTACTAAACAAAATTATTTAAAGTTGTTAGAAACTCGTCCAGGTAGTTTTGTCCAAATTATTATTGCAAGATCAATTGCTCTTTGTTACTGCTCCACAGCCAGGCAAGATTTGCAAACTCTGAGTCTGTGATTGCATTACTTGCCACAGGCCTCCTTCTTAGGTGCTTGGAAAAAGGAAAACACAGACTATTAACTGATCTAGAATGAGTCAGCAGTGAGAGCATTTGAGATGAGATATGAAGGGTTAGGAGGGCTTGCAACCACTATCAACAGGTGCAATTACTATAAATCACAAGGCTGTTTGCAAATGGCAAGGTGCATTCCCTGTCTAGAAACCTGACAGGCATTTCCCTTTGACTCTTCCTGTGTCATCTGCCTCCTGATATCCAGGAGACTCAGACTTGCATGAATTATGCAATGGCAGGATCTGTGAAGATACCTGCTATGTTCCTCTGTGGACTAGGAAATGAGTGTGAATCATTCACGCCTGGAGAGATTACACTCTTTTTAATAGAAGCAAACTGAAGGTGACAACTCTGTTACACAACAACTTCTGAGGATTCAAAATTTGCTTTCATTCCAAATTTGAAGGAAATACAGCCTTTTAAATAGTTGTGAGATTGTGCTGAAATGTCCATTTAGGGATTGAAAAGGCCAGGATAATGATTCAGATCTCTTCCTTTTTATCAGCCATGAGCAGAAGCACTTGAATCCCTTCAACTATCCTGTTCAACAAATATCTCCATGGTCTATTTTGCTTTCAGTGCAAATCTGTGCTGCATTGAAGAAGAAAACTACTTGACCGTGTTTTTACTAGAAGTAATTTGGAGATTCAGGATGAGGTAAAGGATTGGAAATTTCCCTTTTCTATAGATTGATACTAATATAACTATAGAACAGTAATTAGTAATACCTTTTAAAACAGATTAAGTTATAGAACTAATAATATATATGTACATTATGCCTACATTAGATTTTTTTTCTTGCATTTTTTCCCACAAAAATCATTTATATGACCCACTGACTTGGAAACGTATCAAATCACATTTCTGCTTCATATGTAAGAACACAGTGTTTTTAGGTCTTAAATTCATATTCAAATTCTGCTGCTTAGTTGCATATTTCTAATTCACACAGAAGCTCACTTTATGCACACTGTACTTAAAAGGCCAATGAATTACCATGCATTCAAATAACCATGATTAATGTTTATCTATAGTGAATCAAAAATAGAGGAAAAATGTATTGGGAAGTCCAGTTAAGCTATTAGCTCTCTTATCTCATCACATACTACTTGGACAGGGGTCAGGACCGAACTGTTATTTTGCAGCTATAACTAGTCATTTGCATGTTTGGGCAAACTGGATTTAAGTCTTTCATGTGGCTGTTGGGGAGGGAAGGTAGCCTTGCCTTGACCGGAATAGTAGTTCTTATGATTTTGATTTTCCTCTTCATGTCACGATAAACCCTCAGAAACCAAAGTCTAGGAGAGTTCAGTTGCCTGAATTCCACTCCTAGGGTGTGGTGGGAGAGCAACCCTACGACTGCAAGATATTAATATGGATATTATTAGGATATAATAGATATATCTTAATACATATATATATGATTTTAAGATATTATATATTAATACATTGAAAGTGACATGATGTTTCTCTTATCAGCCTTCCAGAGTTCAAGGGGATTAACAGAATGTTTTTCCCTTAAATCAATGTATATTAAAGACTATTTTAATTATTACATAACACCAGGTAGTGTTGAGATATCTTAAGCAACTCTTCTTGTCATCTATTATTCCTGTGTGGGTTTCACAAGAACACTTTTCATTAGTTCAGACATAAGCTTATCCCCACCTGTACAGGTGGTAGTCTTAATGGAGACATTTGGAAGAAAGGAATATAGGGAGAAAGGAGTAAGATACATACTTTCTCTGGAAAGTCTCCGAGAGTTTTATAAGACTAACTTAGTAGAGAAGTAACTGTGTTCTACAATACTGACCCAAACGGGACTGTGTCCATACTTCAGTTTTCTAAAGGTATGAGATGTAAAAGCCCAGATACTAAGGGTCCAGCCATCTGAAAGGACAGGACCTGCTGGGAAAGTCTGGAGCCAGGTACTGTACGGTTGTACAGTGCAGGGACTGATGAGGAGGGACAGCAGGACTGTGAGTTCCCTTCCATTTCAGAACTCCTGCAGCAGCTACGGCTTCCTAAACACATCAGTACGTGCGGGTTCTGAAACCACTACAGCAAAACTGCGCTGAGGAACTGGATCACTCTCAGTCGTGGCACCTGATAAAATGCCATAATATTGCCATGGCAAATAACAATGTCAATAGCAGAGCAGTTTAATGTCCTTGAAGAAGAGGAGCATAAATATTGCATGGTCTTTATTAAAGGCCTAAGGCTATTTCAGGTGTCATTAGCGGCAGTTTTTCCATTGACTTCAGTAGCAGGAGGGCTAAATTAATATTGAATGCTTCTGAAAATCTGGCTCTGGATCAAGACTCCTAAATCTAATTTTAACTCTATTTGCTATGTGACTGGTGCCAATTATTTCATTTCAATGTTTTTCCTACCTTAACGCTGGCAAATTGCTTTGGACATATCAAAAGTTTTCAGAGCAGTTGAACACGTTTAACATGTTCTCAGATCATCTGCAGCCTTTGAGTGAAATGACAACCAGGAAAAACGTTTCATACCATCTGACTCCTTCCCTGCAGAATATTCTGCATTTTGTCAAAGAGGCTGTTTTTACCCTTAGTATTTTAAAATATGCTGAAGCAGTGTCTCAGTGGGAGACAACATTTCTTCAGGTTCTTTACTTCCTGTGATACAATGGTGGGAATGGGGGTGGATTTTCAGAATATTGATGACTAATTTTTAAATTTACTGGTTTTCATCACTTTTTGATTGGAATTTTGCCTGTCCCATACTGCTAAAACTCAGTTTGCAATGTTTCTTGTTGACCAATGCTTAAAAAATAAAGCTGTTGTGGTTGTTCTTCCAATGAATTACTGCATAAATATGTTAAATTTGTGCACTTACTAATTACTACTAACAAAAACTTTGTTGTCACAAAATTTAGCAGTAATATGTTCTGATGCTTCATAACAGTATATTTATTATACAGTGAAGGCTCATGTTGCAAATAAAATGATGCTGAGAAGGACAGTTTAAAATTTCTTTTCTGTAAGCTCACAAAACAGTGTGGCATCTGCAATTTAATATCTACACCAGGGAAATGTGGCATAAGAAAATATTAAAATTGCTTTTTTTCTGTGTCTGAGACATTTCTCTGTTGGAAGTTTTTGCACTTTCTTGGTTTCATGTTTTTTAATTCTAACTCACCATCAACAGGATGGTGCAGGATAAAACAATCATATTAACAGAATATAGATACAGGATAGATCTGAGTTCTATGCTAGCATTTTATTTATTTATATATTTTTAAATTCAAAAGTACTGACTGTTGGTAAAAAACAAACAAACAAACAAACAAAAAAACCCCCATCTAATTACTAGAAAAAATATTTTAGACCATGTTTGGTATGGCACTTGGAAATCATGATGTTAGGCTATTTGTGCTTCCCTCAAGTGTATAGTAAAGGGATAAGGAAAAAATCAAATCCAGTTTCCAGAATGACAGAAAAGGTAGGCAAGTCTGCAAGGACCCAATCAGCGCAAGTGAATCTAGATCCTCTGTAGTAAAAAAGCTAATTTACTTACCTCTTTATTCTTTAAGGAATCCCCAATGACACAGACATCTTTAAACCTACTTAAGAAAGAATTACCTCACAGATTTTCATTAATCTGAGAGTTTGACATCTTAAGACCATTCCCAAAGCTCTAAAGTGAATATTGGGTGGAGGATAAACTTTGGTGTCTTCATTTACTGATTTTTTAATTAATTCCTTTCAAAGCAGGCAACGGAGAACCTCAGATTCACTTCCTTTTCTTGATCAGTTTTTTGGCTAATGTTACCACTCGGAGCTTTCCCAGTTGAAGAATATTACAGAAACATCCAAAGCCTAAAAGACGGATTTTTTTTTATCTATTCTCTGTTTAAGAAAGCACTAATCTTTCTGAGATGGCCTGCAATTTATTTCAATTTATTTCAATCACCTTAACTTTCTTACCACTTCATTTTTGTTGGATGAAAATTCAATGCTTTTCAGATGCAAATGAAAATAACTACTCTGTAAGATCTTGAGGAATCCTTTCTATTTTAACTACCTGGTCTAAATTTCTATTTTAATCAGAAGGAATTACTTAGACTTCCAGTTACATAGTTAGGGAAACGTTTAATTAGAATCTTTTTAATAGCTGTTTGCAAGACTACATTAAAGCATTTTAATAATCTTTGTTGCCTCAGAATGACCTTTTAATGTGCAGGCTCTTTTTACAATACATTCTCTTCCTTATTTTATTCTGCAAAGTAATTCAGTAGAGTCTGTTAATCTGTCTAAGAACTCCCCATCACACATGATTTCTGGGAACTGCAGACTGACACCATTTGCTTAACCACTAACTGTAATGCAGAGATGTTCACCATCAGATTCCCTGTGTCTCAACCACAGATTACTGCACATGTCCCACCTCAGGGATCACATTGCAGTACAATTAGGAACATTTAGAAAATTTTGGTGACCTGAAAGCAAGTCTCTCATTTCCTGCCAGGAACAAGTGTGTATGATGTGCAACATCAAAAACAAACAAACAAACAAAAAACCAAAAAAACATATTCATCACCAACAGTTATTTAAAGTTGTTAATCTAATTGGTCAGGAAAAAAGGCACTTAGAGAATACAAATATATAAGCTATACATTCAGTCTGTAGTTTATAAAACAGCTAATTTACTGATTGTGCCCATTTTAACCTTATAAACTGAGATGATATTTTCCATGCATTAAGATCCTGTGAAGCCATGTACTGTTACCTTATCATATCATGAAAAATTTCCTTCAGTGGGAAAAATCCCTCAGTGGAATGCAGCTGTCATGGCTGTTTGTGGCAAGGGGATTTTAAACAGTCATGACTAAACCTTTGAGAAGATATGATGCTCAGAATTTACAATTGTACCTTATTTTTTAATGGATTCTGTTAAAAAACCTGTATGCCACCTTGTCTTAAGACTGGTGCAGGATTTCAGTTGGAAGTGGTGGTATAGGACAACGCTTGAGACATTTTTCATGTTAGAAAAGTAGAAGTTAATGAAAAAAAAACAGTAGATAGGAGAACTATTTGAATACCTTCACCTTTTCAAACTAAATTCCTTTATCAGGAGAAGAGAATACTCTGATGTTTAATGTTCTATCTATAATTCTATTATAATTCTAATTATAAAAATGCACTGGTTATGGCTGTATGTGCAGTTACTCATCCATTACAGCAAGTAATCATTCTCTTTATCAATGATTCTGAATTCCAATTTCAATGTGGAGAATTGGTTTGTGTCTGAGCTGAAAAAACTGATTGCACACACTCAGTTGCTGGGGAAAAAATAGTTTTCACTCATATACCTTCATTTTTGAAATACTTGTATTATGGGGAATTTTTCTTGACCCACATGCTAGAGTAAGACAAAATCAATTTTGAAAAGTTGGTTCTGGCTCATGTCCATTTAGATCTAAGGTTGTATTTTTTGTTAAGAGAGAAACTGATATCTTAAATGAGTAACTCCAGGAACCATATCTTTTCTCTGCTGTGAATAATCCACTTCCAACTTTCTCCTCTACTTGTGCTGCAAAATGAATACAAAATCCATAGAACATCAGATGAAAATGAGAACAGTAAATGAAATAATACCTCAACAGCTGCCTTTGCTCTTTCAAATTCTTCTTCCAAGGAGTGATTTCTAGAGAGAAGAGGCCCTCCCCAACGTTGCTCCTTAGCTGATCGTGCCTAAAAAATAAAAGAATAACTCAGAATAGGATGATATACTCTCTGCCAAATTTCTGAGTTATTTCCTTAACTGCCTGAAGCCCAAAATGGCCTTTTTCTCGGGCAAAACGAATTGTGTCCCTGCATGAATTCCTCTGAATTCGCATGCACTGTAGAAAGATCATTCCTCATCAGAAGCAGAATAACTTATCTTTCTTGAGTTTTCTTATTACTTAAGATGTGTGAAAGATAAAGAGACAGCCAAGAAAAGACAATGAAAGGACTGGGCTAAAAAGGGAATAGATGGCTCTTTTGTTAAGACTTTTACTTTAATTGTTCCTTGTCCTGTATTATGACTGTGGCAATGCATTCCACTCACTATGTTCCAAGAAGAAAGCCTCTCATTTTGCCTGTATATTTTGTGTTTTTCTTTCAGATTCTGCTTTGGGATCACATTAGAGAGACAGGTTTGGAAGGGATAAATCCATTTTACAACCAGTAGTAGTGCTCCCTTCTACACCTTACTATCAGTCAATCCCATTGGAAGTCCATAACAAGTTTCGCTCTATTCTCTTGCTAAAAAACATTATTAATGCTTTTTGCACAAAAGGCACAATACAAAAACAAACAGTATTCAGTGATGGCATAGAAAATCACAAAGTGGCCTAATCTTGCTAAACAGAGCTCTGACTGCTAATCCCTTCTCTTGTGTTTGTCAGAGGTTGAACTCATTAGCCATTTGCCTGACCATGGTCCCAATTGCATTAATTTACATGATTATGTTTCTGATGACTGTACTTATAATATTCAATTGCAATATGACACATTACTAAAAGACTAACTTTGCTCACTTCAGGCTCATTGGGCTGTATCTGCAAGTGTGGAATTTGCTTTCTTGTAATGAAACATGCAATAACATTCCTGTGCGTTCATACAATGCGCAAAGCAGGGTCAGACATGTCTGTCTGCCTGTGTATACTCATGCCTTTTTAACTAGAAAAGCGACACACTTTTGTCAGTCTGGCCCTAAAGTTTCTGTTTTGTTCCTTCAGTTATTTTACTGATTAACAGAATTTAGGGCAGAAGAGATAACTGGTTCAAATTGTCTGTTTATTTCTAGGTTTTCTTTTGTCACTTGGACATCCATAAGATGAAAGTGATGTTCTACAGACGGTAAATGGAATTGTCTGGAATATATGAGGAATGTGCTTGGGTTTTTAATTAAAAGTTATCAAGAGACCTTAAACCTATCACTATGTTTGGAAATTTGTTTAATTGACCTCTTTGTTTGTCTCATTACTTTTAATTTCTGTTTCCAGCTATTACTTCTTATCCTTTCTCCAGTAGTGTGAAGCACTTTTTAGTACCCCTTATTTTCTCTGTGGAAAGATACCCATTACTTTAATCTGGTTTTAATTATCTTTTAAATGTTATAAAGAGATTAAGATCTTAACTTAGCTCGTTATGAGGCATTTTATTCAGATTTCAACCTTTTTGTGGCACTTTTACTCTCCCTCTTTAATTTACTATAGCTTTAATGTATAGCCATAGAGACAACAACAGTGAATACTATGGTCCAATACCTGACTTCCTGTTTCTTTATGCAGAGAGCAAGTGTTCTATCTCTCACTAATTATGCCTGCTTTTCTATGGTTTTCTTGTCAGAGTACTGCATGGGGAGCACTCACAGTGACACGTTCGTACACTCAGAGCTATAGATCCTTTTCAGAATTGCCTTCCAACATAGCGTTGTAAGTAGAGCCTGCATTCTCATTCTGTAATATATGAGTTTTCAAGCGACTGTATTGTAATACTTATTTATATAGGTGTCGGTCACCAGCTCATTTTCATGACTCCCTTGTTTACATTTTATTCGGTCCACTGTTGCATTATATGCAAATTTCACCACCAATGACTTGCATATTTATTTTCAGATCAATAATATTGAAGATCATGATTTCTCTTTGTAATCTCAGAAGAATCCCCCCTTATTACAATTCCTAGTAAATAACTACTGGTTCTGAGAACTTGTTAGCTAGCCTTAATCTGTTTAACAGCTGCTTTATTCATTTTGCATGGTACTAATTTTTAAATCAGAATATAGTACACTAAATCAAACATCTTGCTGAGTATCACACAGCAATGCTTATCAACCCAACCTGTAATCTGATCAAAGAAAAAAATATCTGTTTTTTCTTGACACAAAAGTGTGTTGATAAACATTAATTATGTTCCTAGCCTTTTCACTATTTATGAGTTGACTCTTGCAAAATGTTTAACTACATCAGCTTTTGCACCTTTTGCTTCTAGTGACTGTAATTGCCTTAGGTCAAGGACAATACCATAAATCATGATGTTTAGACTGACTAGTACTGGAGAAGGGGAGAGAGTTTGTTGATGCAGTTAGAGAGCTGAGGAGAAAGAGGATAAGAAAGAAGTACAGAAGTTCCCTCCTCTGCCTCATATCACAGCATACACATTCTCCCTGCATAATCCCCACAGAAATACACCTTCTCCTCCATTAAATGCACATCTGCTCTCAATCAGAGGGGAAAAAAGAAGTAATTAACAAAACCCATATAAGCTAAATTTGCATATAGACAATGCAGAGTCATATTCTGAGTTGTGATATCCAGAAATGAAAAACCCCATGTGTAACACACATGCTGCCTTTTGCTAGCGCAGGAAGAGAAGGGATGGAAATGGAGTGCCAGCACTGGAGAACTTCAGCTCTCCAGCTGGTGATGGACTGGGACTCTGCAGCTGCGACCCTAAAGGGGAGCCCAAGGTGTAGTATGGGTCGGGGTGGAATGGGTATGTCTGAGGCACGGAGAGCCTGCATACACTGTGGTTTGATATGCTCACCGCTCTACAGCGGAGGTGTTGTAGTTGATCACTGGCTGCTGTCTTCAGGAACAAAATCTTCCATTCCAATACATTTGCGCGGTTTCCTGCACCTGTAGTCTGCTTATGTGCTATTGGACCTTAACTGTTGGTGAGAGGCTTAAATTATAGTCTTAACTTTTCAGCAGGTCTTCAAATAATGAGCTAAATCTGTCCCTTGTAACTTAATTTTATTAGAGTAACTGGCACATCCAAAAAGAGACAGGCCATTTGTCTTACCATATGTATCTGGGAGAAGAAGGGAATAAATCACGCATTCTAAAAATTGCTGCCCAAAACTGCACATTTCTAAGATTTACAGGCTTTGAGATACACCTTGGTCTAAGCGTAGAGATAGTAAAATTAGGTATAGTTTGTAGTATGTCGAGGTTTCTTGTGTATGGATTCTGAGTGAGCAATGAGGCCCAAGTTTTAAATTGTATTTTGAGAGTTAAAACATAAGCAGAGTTTATGCATATACATTTTAACATATTATCTCCCTCTGTAGTTTGTAACTGTTAGAGAGAAAATAAACCTTCAAAAAAACCCATCACTATAGGATATGTTGTACCAATAAAACCGTAACAAGGAACTTTCTGGTATGGCTGATAAAAGAATGAACAAAGATACTTGGGCCAATACAGCTTAAGAGTTACTAATAGGAAACATATGATGTGAGCAGAATACTAAGAAGGAAGTTGGCCACATCCAGTGACAGCTACCATGCTATTGCCCTTTCCAACATTCAGAGACATTTCTTCCTCATTCTATGATTCTTATTAATTCAAAGCTTGTCTTTGTGATTTTGTATGACATAAGCACTGGTAAACACAGGATTTTGTTAAGGAGATTGTATAATTTTAAAGAAAATGTAACCTAGTTGCTTAGTATTTCACTTTGAGGAACTAAATCTAATGTCAAAGATGAGTGATAAAGGCAATTGTCTCAGCAACTGCTGATGGCTAACTGCAGCAAGTTTGACAAGATGAAATCTTTAGGGTATGACAAAATCTGTTGCATATGCAAAGGTTACCCTTAAATGAGATTGACAAGATCTATAGAGGACAAAGAATGGTAAACATATGCTTTGATAAAAGCACTACTAGTATGATTTCTTTTACAAGCAGATTAAGAACTCTGTCAAGACAGATGAGCCTGGTTGTTAGGAACTGACAACTTTGACAGTCCAAGTATAAGCAGGATGAAGCACTATTAACTACCAGGTCAACCTGAGTGGATCATGAGTTTGAAAAAAAGGAGCTTATGAGAAAGCAAAACAAAACATGAAATATACCAGAGCATCAGATAAGAATCTTACTCTGCTTCTCTTTCAAGTTGGCTGATTCAATTTAAGATTTTTAAAATTTTGAAATACCATCCATTTTATAAAATAGCATGGAGACTCAAAGGATTGAATCTGTACTGAATTAAAAATGTGAATTTTTGCTTCTGCGGTTATTCTAGTAGAATTGGAAATAGACAATATAAACTAGAGGTGCTGTATTTGCAACTGTTTTTACAGAAAGCCACAGAATTAAAATCTGTAACTGTCTACTTGATTTAAACACATCTAGGTTAAACATAAAGATGGCGTTTAGATCTATTAGGCTGAGGAACAGCCTCCTAAAAAGTGGTTAGGGGTACTTGAAGAAAAGATGGACAAAGCATGTGAAAAGATGCTGTCCATCTAAAGTGGATATTATGCAACAGATCTTTTCCATTACTAAGATGTATAAGTATTGTACAGAATGAAAAAAAAGATCGTGCATTAGAACTAGTTAAACTTTCCATGGGAAAAATAAAAATTGAAAAAAAAATCCTGTTTGTAATGTAGAAATGGCAGGAAAGCAAAGGAGACTTTTTCTCTTTTTCCCCTAATGAAAACATAGAAATGAGTCTTGATAACTAGGTTCTATTTCTGTTTTCTGCAAAAAGTGGTGCATGATCTCCAAAAAGGACATTTGTCATTTTGGTGTCTCATTTTTCCATTTTCAAATGGGACTATTAATTTTCATTAATTTCCAGATATTACATCTAACAGAAAGGTTTTGAAGTGCAGGCTTAAATATAGCTGTAGAAAAATTGAGAGAAAAATTGCTTTCAACTATAAGTGAATCCACCAAACAACTTGCTCTCACCCCTGCCAGTAGCATTGGCTGAACTTGAAAACTTTCAGTTAAGAAATAAAAAACTGGAAATAAGGTGTATAAGCAATCTGCACTATATGAATGCATATATAAATGTATATTTGTACATATATATGCATATACACACATATAATGCCATACGTCTTTAAGTAATTTCCATAAGGACCTGTTCAATATACTGTATGCCAGTGGAACTGGGCAAATCTACAGACCTGCACCCCAGAGCCCTCCTTACTGGAGTTCATTTTCTGGCAGAAAAAGTCCTGTGAACACACTGTTTTCCCACATGTGGAGATAAACTACTAATGAATGTTGGCCTAATGGTTCTTTCCTGTATTCCTTTGCCACTTCCCAATTCTGGATATTCCTGGTTGACCAAGAGACCTTGAGAAAAGCTATATGACAGGAACAGAGAACCATAAGAAGTTTGATTTTCAGAACTGGAGGAAGGGAAAGAAGATACTGCTGTAAATTATAGTTTGATGTGTTTTTGTACAGGAAGGTCACACAGTTCACTGCAGTGTTAAACTCTGAATGTTTGATATGCTGACAGTTATGCTAATTTTGTAATATACTAATTTGGAAGCTGTGTGAAGATTCAGCTGTATGAGGCTTTTAACTGATGATCCTGAAAATTTCCCTTAAATAGTTCTTTCAGCATGTGAACAGTTAGCCAATGAGACAATTCCTACCTGCCTTTTTAATGTTACTAAATCTACCAATTCTTCTTACCTGTATTGCAGGTGCAAGTTCTAGTTCTGATGTTGAATCAGCGTCCAAGGCACTCTTGACATTAGTCAGCTCAGACTGTGATCTATTTTCTGTGGACCTAGAAATAATGTATTTACATATTCATCACTGCAGACTAAGATGCTCTGCCTTATCTATTTCAGGTTCATAGGCTCACACAGACTAATTAGGTTAACTCTTTTAACTTAATTGTTTAACTTGGAGATATCAAAAGTGCCTGGACCCTTTTCGGTGTTCCTGCTATTCCATTTTTCAGTTCTGTGCAGACAATAGTAATGCAACAAAACAGAATCAGGCCTGATTCACCAGTAAAGCACCAAGCACATATGGGCATTAAACTTGCATAATGGAATGGAGACCTTGCCTGTAACACTACACTTCCATTTCATAGAAATGCAAAATGAGGTTTAGGCAATGACACAAGAATGTAACTGCAGTCAGTGTCTAAGAATCAACAACCACATTGCAAGACTTCATCCTGGCTTATGTGCCTGTTTGTGCCACGAGATCCTATTTTCTTCCTTAGAAAATGAAGCCCTGTAGGCTAAAATCAGGTTAACTGAGCGAAACTCTTCTGTAAAGTTCTAAGTTAATGAAACACTCAGCTAAAGGGCTGGTTAAGACACTGGATGAGCATCAGTTGGTCATGAATCTGCTTCTAGTGTATGAAAATGATAATCATGGTCGTGCATAATACAGCGAATCAGTGTTGCTTACATACCAAGAAGACAGCAGAATTAATCTACGTGACCTGGTTCTAAATGCAAAGCCCAATTCTTCCCTCTTTTACATCCTTTGTAGTTTTAGTAGAACTGCGTGGAAGAGGTAATAGTTGGCTTAGATATTTTTTCTTGCCTCTTCCACACAGAAATTCTGCCCTCTTGATGGCAAAGAAATTACACTGGGTATCTAGTGACTGTCAAATCACTGCAAAGTATCTTTTTTTTTACTAATTTTACTCCCATCTGTAGTCTTTTGGATCACTGCATCCCTCTGTGGAATTTTCACCACTATCTATTTAGCAACTGCACCTGCTATTCTTCACAACATTAAAAATTGCTGACAAAATGTAATTTTATAGTGTATTTGTTTATGATACATTGTCCAAAATGTCTGCTTGCATACTTTCAATGTAATCCTAACAGATTTAATAATATGACTTGTCATCGTTAATTAAGAAAGCTAGACTGGAAATATTTTTCTCAGAAAAGCAAAATTTGTACCATAAAAGCTCTTTTGATGGAGCTCTAGATGATGATGATGTTCGTTCTGCCGAAGGGTGGACTTTGCAGCTCCTCTCTCCGTGAAAGTTGACGTCATCCCATTTCTCTAGCTGTGTCTGAATATCAACTGAAAGATAACAAAAGATATGAACCTATCAAAGAAACCATTGTTTCTTGAATTAATTCCCCTGTGTTAAATACAAGTTTAGAGGAAATTGTGCAGCCAAGCCACTGAAGACTATTTTAATTACGGTCCAATAGACAGAAATGTTGTGCACCTTTCTAGCTTATATTCTGTAAAAATACATTTGAATTTGCAACATTTTTCTAAATCATGATTTTTAAGGCCACTAAAAGCAGATTCATGTTCAGAATGCCAGTGGAAATCTTGATTTAAAATTATTGGTTTGCATGCAATTTAGATCTGTTGATAAAATTATACTGATAGGAATATATTTTAATTTCTTAATTGTATTCATATTGTATAAATAAAACTTATTTTGGTGACTGCCATTTACAAATAACTGTATAGGCAACCAATTGGATTCACTCATATGTTGGACTTGACTTGCAAAAATGAGATATTCAGCTCCTGTTTGATGATAAAGTTATATAAAAGAAGTTCTATGTTGATGAAGGGAAAATTTGCTACCTTGGTATAAATTACATTTACCTTGCAAATTTCTCAGTTGCGGTGCAAGTAATTTAGTTTGGATGGAACTAAATTAAATTCACCTTTTTCAAAGCTCATCTATAGATCATGCTTGGCAGGATATTGAGTTGTATTCAGGTTTTTTGTTCAATCTGTATAAATATAGCTCTTCTGTCCAGAACTTTTTTTTCTCTGGCATGCATAGGTGAAACAGTACTTAAAAATTATTGTGTATTTCTAACATATGCAGATCTGAAAAGGACACCCAGTGTGCGCTGTTTCTGATCTGTGCCCTTTATTGGTTTCTCATGATAGCCTTACAGATTTTTCTACCATTTTACTGATCCTGACTTTTCTTTTTGAAAAATCCACTCAGAACTTTATTTGCACACTTACTAACAATACGTATAATGATAAAGGTAAAATGTTTACACAAAGTTAAGTTTACACTCCCTGCTAAAGTGCAGTGCAACGAAAATTCAGATCTTGCTCATTGTTTTGTGCCAGTAAGGAGGAGAAACTTGTGTTAAGCATGGCTATGTAACACTGATATCATAGCTATAATCTTACCTAAATCTAGTGAAGACTTGTCTGAAACTCTGACAGTCTGGACTTTCTGCTCAGTGTCCACATTGATAAGGTCAGGATTGTCTGTCTTCTTTCTGTGGGTTGAAGCTTTTATGCCTTCACCTCTTGATGGATTCTCTGATTTCTTTGCTTTGTTTTGGGTTTGTAAGACAGGTTCACTAAGATCCAAGAGATCCAAACCTGTTGATAACACTTAGAGACAAAATGTTAGAATTCAATGTTAATTCAAATAACTCACATTTGGTTGGGTTTTGTTTGTTTGTTTAATTGGAAAAATAATTATTAAGTTAATGTATTTTCATTTGGCTATAGTAGATGTGTATTTCCTGCTAAAGAGGACGACCAGCATACTCAGATACGACTAGTGATCCCAGGTGCTTAACTGGATGCAGTTGTTTAAAAAAGCCTGATTTGCAGGAATGGCTTTTGCTCTGAAAATCTTCAAAACATCCTCTTAGGTCTTAGTCCACAGTTTTTCTTATGTTGTGAAGGTTCCCTGTACAATTGAGTTTTTAGATTAGATTTGGCTTAATCTTATGCTTAGCAAATACTGGTAACAGCTGCTTAGGTTGTTGTGTGACATGCCATTAAGGAAAAAGCTGATGAATAGACAGTTTTCTCTAACATGTCACATTCAGAGTCTAATCTAATTCATTGCTCATTAAACCATTAATCCATTTGTGGTACAAAGGACACGGTTTAGTGACCTGACTCAGTAGGTCAGGTTGATGGTTGGATTTGGTGATCTTGAAGGTCTTTTCCAACCTAGATAATTCTGTAATGCCATGGTATAAGGTAAAAAATATTCTAACCTTTGTACTTTGAGTCTGGACAAAGCTTAAAGACTACAGAGGGAAGTTAGATGTTTTGTTCTTGTAAATTCAGTGAGAGTTTGACTTCTTTCAGGTTCTACTAAAAACTGTAGTCTAAAATGTATTTTCTGTTATTAATTTAAAAGAATTGCATATAAAATCAGGTTCCATCACACATATTAGAACATTTTGATTGACAAAACAAATGTAATTGTGAAGTTAACATGAAAAATTCTTTCTAAATTAGGAAAGGAACTGGAGAAAACAAGATACCTTTGCTTTGCCCATGGTTAAAGTTTGGCAAAAAGCAATAGATGCCGCTATTCTCTGAAGCCTCTGTCTGTCAGTGATGCAGAAAATATTAAAAAAAAAAAGGTGAGAAAGTACAGTTGTGCTAGAAAAGCTTCAAACAAAGGAAGGTCTAGCACCAAGAATATGATCCTAACAATGAGAGAGCTGTGCATCTATGCATGACTGAAAAAGGGCCTTAGATTATGACAGTAAAGATTTTTGCTGTGCTGGATGAAACAGGGTGCAGAAGAGTATAGCACAAAAGACAATAACATAATATTTTCTTCCTGCAAACAAATCTGAGTCGCCCCACATTTGGCCAACTTTTTTGGTCAAAAATGAATAATTATGGTTAGCATTTTTTTCTACTGTTGTTGCTGTTTGTCCTTTTCAAGATAAATATTAACTATAATTAGAAATTCTATTGCTTGCTCTGTTAAAAGCCATATCATTGTATAAGCCAGGCTTCAGTCCAAGTTTCTCATTTATAAGTTGTTTGAAGTATAATATTGGAAATTCACACAAAAGACAGGAAAACTCCCTCCTCTGCATTTTCAGTTTACAGGGGAAATGTTTTTGACATATATATTAATGTTATCTCTTGTGCTTTATCTATCTTGGTAAATCACCAGATTTCATCAGTCTTCACAAAATAAAAAACTTATAAATAAAAATCTGATTAAAATGCCCCAAATCTAACATATTCAAGGCAGATATAGGATCTTACCCAGACATAAGATACTTATTTTTTTCAACACCATCTTAAACAACTTGAAAACATTTATATTAATCCCTGTAATATCTGTAGCTGTATCAAAGGAAAAAATACTATTTACAATTGTTAATTTAATTCAGTGTTCCAGATTTGCTACTAGAAACCGCATACTGCTTTAGACACATTAATTAGATGTGAAGATAATCACCCAGCTGTTAATTAGTCATTTAGTTATTTTAATAATTTGGATGTATATGGATTTTAATTAAATGACTTCTAACGAGACAAACCATTTTATGAGACTGCAACAGAACATAGTAGCACTATTGATTTTATGGTATCTCAGTAAATCAACTCAGATGCTTAGATTACCTTTGCACAAACACTGAATAGGAGACTGCCAATTTCTACAAACACATCCAAAGGACAATACACTTTTCTTAATTCAGAAGGCTTTCAGGATTTCTTCTTAATTATCTGCTTTACTATCTCACCACAAAACAAATCAGACAAGAAATTTCTTGGATCCTTTCAGTACTGAAGTTTCTGAACTCAAGTCTGGATAAACTGTTTTGATCTCTCTTCCCTTTTTCTCAGACATCCACATCTTTCTAAAGAATGGGTTTGGTTAAAACAAGAGTGAATGTGGCTTATCCATCAGTTATATTTTTGTAAAAACGAAGATTGAGAATTTGTCGATCTGCTATGTACTTCCTGTTGAAGTTCCCTTTAATTCAAGCTCAGAGATCTGCTGGAATAAATATGATTTGGATCACATCAGATTTGCCCTGAAATGTAATAAGCAATATTTTTTTCTAGTAATAGATCAAACAATTACAATTTAATATCAGTTTATAATTTTGTGCAAATAGTATTTGTTTACAAGAGACTAAAAGAAATTACTTGATAAAATGTACCACAATTAAAATAAAACTAAAATTATTTCTCTCTCGTGAGGGATGGTACAGAATTTTGGTTACCTGCAGTATTTGATGTTACAGGCCTTGCAACAGCTTCTGGTTTAGCTTCACAGAGAAAGTCATCAATGGAGGGGCTCAGAAGTGGCCTGCTTTCTTGCTGCTCATTCACCAGCTGACAACAAAAAATCTCAGGATCACAGAGTGTTGTTGGAGTACACAATTTGAACAAATAAAACATTTTTGTACAATATCATGTGCTTTATTTTAGATTGCTAGAGAGTCAGAGATTGTAATTAAATATACAAATAGCTCTGGGCTTAAAATTAAAAAAAAATCAATGTAGTCACTCTCTTGGGGCAAAATTATATTCTAGTTTTAAAAATTGCACAAAAATAAAGCAGCAAGGTGATTTCATTCATAGCAATTATTGTAATATATTGCTCCTGGGCTGAAGTATGCAAGGTCTGATGTAACTCCCTTCAAATCAGTGGGTGAAGTTGGCCTTCTCTGTCACCAGGAGACTAAGCAGGGCATTTTTAACATTTGGAAGTGGTCTTGTTTTCACCAGTAACATGCCTCCCCACAGAATTCCTACAACACCATTCCATCTAGAAAATATGCATTAGCCCATTAAACAATAACCTGCTGAGATGGAAAACACCTCTCTGCAATACAAGGACATATGAATGACAGTGGATGGACTCTGGTGAATTTATGAAATTCCTGCATGAGTTTTGACTGTGCGAAGACTCATAATTTGTATTTTAAGCAGTTTTCTCTTTTTATTGTAATTGCAGGAATGTATTGTTTTTCTGCTACCTAAAAGAAATCTCCACGTTACAGGCTTTTCATGTATTGGATATTAAAAAACCTAAACAGTAATAAAACAGTCTCATAAATAAATGTCTCCTCTCTACAATCCCTCTCCGATGGCAGGATCAAAACCTACGTTGTGCTGGATGGACGTCTGATGGTATGGCCTGCATTTGATTTATCTTTAATAATATGAATACATGTTTTTCCTTTGTTACTTTCATCTGGAGCACTTTCAGCTTCACCTTTATTCTCTCTCAGCTCCGTCTCTCTGTCCTGTTTTTGCTCTTTTTCCACTGTTGTAATTTTGAAATGTTCTCTGCGTATATTTGAACTTTTAAATTGAGGATGCTAACATGGTCTAAAACTGGTAAGAAAAGTTATCCTAATTTGATGTTTATTAATTACTGGCATTTAGCTACTGCAGTAATGGGGTTGCCTCTACAGCTCCTACAAGACAACAGCTTAGATTCACTGTTTGTTACTTGGTATTCCAATGTCTCAAGAAAATACTGGAGACTATAATTTTGATGGGTCAAATATTTAAGCTGGCACCTAAAGCTGACTGACTGTATAATATAATATTCATTTGCCCAGAATCTGGCCTGTAACATCATTGCTATATGAACTAGCAATTTACACAATTAACGTGGAAGATTGCTTGCCCAACTGTGTGTAGCAGAATGTGCAAACTGGGAGCACTTCAGAAATCTGGCAATGACATTGTTCCAAACTCTAATTCTGCATGTGCTAGACCTAGACTGCAGATACACCTTACAAGCGGAATAAATAATCTGTTTTTACAACTATCTGAATTGATTGGTCATACTGCTGTCTCATTTATCACACAAATGTTACTTGCTTAATTTGTTAAATCTCAACACCTGTTTTGAAATTGCATTTATACCAACTGCACACCTTTGATTTTTATTAAAGGTGGCTTTACATTGCCCACATTATCTCTAGGTGTATACTTTTGCCTAATACTGATATTTAAGACTTAAGAGGACCTAGTACATCTCTACGCTATATATGTATTTTTCTGTCTGTGATTTGGTGATTGTATCTATTGGTGAAAAAATAAGGGTGGATACCTATTTAATCCTTGTCCAAACTACTTTCAATATTTTAAAAGTTTTTCTATGACCAACTCCACATATCAGCAAAAATTGTTCAAATACCTTTTCTCCTAGGAACTAGCATCAGTAACAGTGGATGCAATTTTGCAGTGAATTGCATGTTCTGGTGAACATAACATCCAGCAGAAAGATTGTAAAAGTCTATGGATCAGCTGGATCTTCAACGATTTATTTTGTGATGTGCTAACAACATGAAGAAAAGTTTTACATTATTTGGAGGGAATAAAGACGAGGTTCCATAGTAATAAGTGTAAATGTAAAAACTTCATAGGAAACACTGGTTCTGTATCTATATGAGCATATCAGAAGGGTACACTATCATGTAGGATTTTGATGCTGTTTAAGTTTTGCATTACTTTCCATGAAAATTTTCTTTAATAGGAAGGAGGGAAGGAGGGAAAGCAAGAAGGAAGGAAAGAAGGGCTAGAACAAAAAAGATAAAAACCTGAATTTCTCCAAGATTCAGCCAAGTATGAAGTAGCAGATGTCTTTTTTTTTTTTTTTTTTTTTTTAACTTTTCCAAGGTGGTTATCACATCACCAGTCATTTCTTTATTATGTTGTTTATATAATGATGACCAACCCAGCCACACGACTTCTTAGTTTGGTACCAGAAGTGTATTGATAAAATTCTACCATCAAACTGAAAGAGTTAGGCAGATATCCACTTCTTCATAATCAGTTTTACCAGTGAACACCAAGATTTGATTTTTACTAAACTATGCCTTTGCAGTGCACTTGCAGCATTTTTATTTAATTAGAAAACAAATAAATTCTTTTCTGATTCTGTCACTATGTGAACATATACACTATATTAGAGATGGGCCATCCAGATGATCAGAGGAATAAAGAACACATTTTACAGGGACTCTAAAAGAAGTTGACTTGCTTAGGCTAACAAAATGAAGATTGAGTAAGAATATAATTATTATTCTTGTATATATAAAGAGAGGGGCTGGATGACATTGGAAGTGGAAAACTATTTCAAAAATAAAAAAAAATTGGCATCTCAACTGGCCATGAGTAGGTTTGGTGTGGAAATTAAAAGAATTTTAATTCTAACTATCACAGCAGTGAATTGAACAAACAGTATAATTTTTAGGATTGGGGGACAAAAAAAAAACTAGCTTTTTAAGGTGGCATTTGAAAAGCTTTCTTCATGGCTGGTTTTGAGAAGTGGGCAATGACCCAGAGGATTCCTCCCAGTAGTGTCCTATGCTCCTATGACTAAGAACTGAAAGCTGTAGGAGTGCCTTTTTAAAAAGAATTGTGCCTGTGAAAAAGTGTGCTTTCAAATGAAATATCTGGGTTGAAAAATGAAAACAAATACATGATCAAGTCTACTTATTCTCAATATATACAAACTACATAGCAATAAAACATATTGGAAAAACGTTTTTGATGTGAGGCAGGTATTTCATGATGAATCAAACCTTAAGAGGTTAAATAGTGCTGTGAGTGGACTTTTTGCAGCAGTTAAGTAGTCAGAGGGGCAGTTTGTGACATTACTGTGTATGCAATGCTATTTGGTAAATCCTTGGTCTCACACTTTAAATTTCATTTTGCTGTCTCATATATTGTACCAAATTTATCCCTCTTTTAACTCTACTCAAATTATTAGAGTTATATCAGGCATGAATTTGGAGTAGTGTTATAAAACATTCATGAGATGAAAACTATTATCTATATTAAAGTAATAATTTATGGTTCTCAAGCACCTTTCAGGGTGAATATCACAGAATGCTTTAAAACATTGATGAATCAAGCCTGGCACCACCACGGAGCTGAGAAGTATTATCTCTGTGTTGCAGACAAGAGAAGCAAAGTGAAATTAAGAAAGCCGACCAGCACCATGCAGTGCTGGAGGAAGAGGCGCTGGGAGTGAGAGCCAGGCTGCTGGCAGTGCGCCACCACGTAATATTTATGTGTGCGATATTTGTACACACGCCAGGCTGTATAGACTCAGACTGTAAAATTATTGATTTCTGAGTACTAATTTAGCCGGTGAGTACCATAAATTCTCATAATGTCTCTAAGAACTTAATTTTTCTTTACGGAATCTATTTTAATTAAAGAAAAAAACACTCCCTTAACTGAAACGTATCTAAAATTTGTGAAGGGTGATATTTCCTACTATCAATACATATGAAGAGTCTCAACCATAGTATAAAATGCTCCTCATAAATTCAAACGAATTTTATGTGCCTGACTTCTGCCACTGAGCAACACAACAGAAAAAGCTGCCTTTTTTCCCCTCAGTATTGCTATTGGACTTTCTCCTACCAAATATTTATGAATTTTGGTGCTTTGGGAAAGATACTGGGAGTGTCAGAAGCATCATTCTATGCCCGATATCAGCCCCATTCCTTAAACGTATTCAAAGTGAGGATTATTTAGTGCAGATCTGAGATGAGGCACAGAGGCCTGGCCAGGAGGCAGTGGTGCCGTGCCAGAAGCCGCAGCTGCCACATTTTACCTCAGCAGCTGCCAGGCAGGCCGGCAGCGCAGAGCACTGAGGGGCACCACCTGACCTCCATTTTCTGTGCCCTATCACCCACCCCTGCCCCAGCTCTCTGCATTTACTCATCGGTATAATTTATTATCCACAGCTGCCTTTACTGATGAATTTTCTATTTCCCCCTGCTCTGGCCTGGCTAGTGCTTTTTGTTCTGCTCTCAGAGCTTCTGTGAGAAAACAGGGGTGGAAGCAGTGGCTCGTGGTAGTTCCCGCTCTTGGCCCTCCTCAGGCGTTGAGGGGTAGGTGTCTACCCAACAGACTGAACTGGAATGACTGGTTTAAGGCTAAAAAAAAAGTCAAACTCTAGATGGGGTTGGGTATGGGTGTGCTAAGGCTGGAGGAGAGATGTTATGATGTGGAAGGAGCGGTAGCGGCCCTGCTGAAAGGGAGAGGTCCTATGAGGGGGCTTCTCTTCCCTTTTAGTCAGTATCTAGCCTGGTCCCAGCTTCCACTGGTTGCCTGCCCAACTCTTCCTATGCCCTACTGTCACCCTCAAAGCCTCCCATGTTGTATTTTCTCCCTTTGTCCCTGTGGGAATATCCTGCTTCTTAAAAAAAAAACCAACAACAAAACAAACAACTTAGAGGAGACATTGTCCCTGAGCTTCTCCTCAGGCCTGGTTTTGCTCTAGGGGCCTCTGTGAGACTATGTCAGCACGTAGCTGCTACTATGGTGACAGCTCTGCTACCGCACAAAAACTTCTATGGGAATTTTCTTTTCATCCTGGGGTCCTTCAGTCTATGGTCTTAACACAGGTGCCTGTTGTGGCAGTGATGTTGGTGGTATTGTGATTCTCTGTGCAAGAGAAAAGGTGAAATTATGTATGGTATCACAACTGACATGGCTTTTGTTTTGCTTTGCTCCCAGACTACAAATTTTGTTGTGAAAAGAGATTTATGAAACACCTAGTCGGTAGCCTGATTTTTCTATTTTTATATATTTTAAAGGAGGATGGAGGCAGTTGACAGGGTCGTGCCATGAAATGGGGCTGTGAAGTGTTTCCACAAGGGAGCTTACTTTGGCTCTTGGGTGGAGGGACCTGGAGCACACCTGGTGCTCAGGGGGTCAGCTGTGAGGACCAACTTCTTAACTAGTGTTACATTTACAGCTTATGATGTTCACCTGTACAACCTGCCCTGATCATGGCTTCAAATGCTTTGCCTTCATAGAGCAACGGGCTTACACCACGGTCGGAAGTGGAACGTGTTGATGCCATCAATAAGGTATAGAACCTGAAATGCTGCTTTTAAGTACTCTCTTACTACATTCCTATCTTACTGTGTTTGTGGTGCACCATACATGGTGTTTAGTTCCATTTTTTTTTTTTTTTAATGTTAGTAGAGCGTAATATGCTGCTAGTCTTCAAGATAAATGATTTGGGAGCTAAATTGTGGGGTTCCAGTCAGGCAAAGACAGCTAATTAGCACCTATGTTTTGAGCACATAGTGAACTAGTTCTCTAAAATTAAGTGCTTAAATTCCCTCCATATTCAATAGGAAGAGATAAATGCCTAGAAAAGCAGCTCCAGAGGGAGATCCTTCCTGCTTAATTTAGGCTCTCCCTCAGGAGGCTCTCAAAGGCACCTAGCTTTCCCAATGACTATATATGGAACTTACTTTAGTAGGACTGGTTTTATAGGCACCAAAAATGTAGTTGTAATTCACTGTGCAAGCTAGTTGGATTGGATTCTACAAGTTACGTCATCAGAGGATGACTGAATTATTCAAGGAATTAACTTAGGAAACTCCAGACTACTACTGGATAAGTCCCTGTAGCATTCAGCAGCAAACCTACTCATGGGTATTGATGGCTTTTGCTGTACCTCTGCATACACACTGTGCATGGAATGGTGTGGTTAGGCTGTAAAATGGATCAGTGAAATATCTGACTCAAATAGCTCAGGGTATGGTAATGAGTGGTCAGCATATGAGAAAACTGGAGCTTCTTAATTCAGAATTCCTATAGAAGAAATTGTGTTTTAGATCTCTTCTCTGAGAGATGCTTGTCTGCTGCTTGGGTGAGACTGGATAAGCAGGTAAACTAGATAGTAGTTTGTCAGTGCTATACTACCTGTTCTTTTAGTTTTTAACTCAGCCAGAGGCATCACATAAGACATGAACTAACTTCAGTTGCTAATTGATTTCTAAGATATATATGATTCAAAATTTTTAATAAATAAGTTCTCTGTATATATTTGGCATATCACGATCTCTGGTGGTATTCAGTAGGATAAGAGGAAATGAGTGATTTCTGTGGATTCATCTCCTTGAGTGAGGCATTTCTATAAACTGACAAATGGGAACCAAAACTAGAAATCGAGGTGGTTGTTCTCTGAAGCATAACTGGAAGTAGTGTTTGTGGATTGCTATCTTGACAGGATAAGTATTGAGATACCTCCTTTATTGTCTCAGAGGGAGGCTTGGAAAAGGAAATCCATATCAAATCAGTAGTTTCATGCCAAAAAGCTCAAATTGCATGAGCTGTGTTTTTCTTTCCTTACTTTTCTAGAATTTGTTAGTATTTCACAAGGAAAAATCATATCACTACCACTCCACACTTTTATTTTTTATCATATAGTAAGTGTGATCACTACTTGACTTCTGGCATCATTCTTGTGCCAGGGTCACACTAATCTTTTCTCTGTCACTCTAGTGTGAATTTATGTCCCAACAAAACTGACATGCCAGCCAAATATTTGGTTTTCACAGGAACAGAGAATCAATACACAGGGCATATAGTGTAACTGACTTCCACCTAACACAAATTGTGGGAAGCTCTAAAACAGAAACAAACTCATTTCACTCTCCTTCAAAGAGCAGTTTGGTGTTGCTACCTCTCTGAAGATAAGTTTCACTTGGCAGGTGATAACTGGTACTCAGTTGCTAAGTAGTAGGAAGTGTGTGCAGTGGCCTGTGAATCAGAGGTGACAATATCTTACCTGAAATCACACAGGCCCAGCCGTTCCCTGAGGCTTAATGCTAACAACTGACCCACAGCTTGTGTGAAGACTGTGAAAACTGTGGGAAGATTACTATATAGACATCATATTGGATGTTTGAATTCACAGGAAAGTAGTGTTATTTAAAACTTGTGCCTGATGTCTCAATCAGTAAATGGTGTAACACGTTTATTTTGTGTCTTCAGAAACAGCAGTTGCATTGATTTTGTGAGAGCTATTGCTGTATCATGGTAGCATCCTATATGTTTTTGTCACTGCTGACCTACACAAATTACAGTGTCTAGCTGCAACGTAGTACTAAATATTTTGCGGTTCACCATGTTTTCCTCCATTGTTCTTCACCTGGCTAAGAAAACTAAAAGGGAGCAGTAGCCAAACACAGGGTTGTATCTGGCTCCTGCATTTTGGCTTCATGCCAGCAAGCCACTTAAGCATGTCCTGCAAAACTCAAGGTTAAGCGTGTGCTCAACTGCCTTGCTGGATTAGAGCCATTGGGAGAAATGTTGCTCTTGTCATGTTTTGAGTGGAACTGACAATTTGGCTTTTACTGCTTATAAAAATGTTACTTCAAGTCTGTCTGTTGCATTAACATCCATGTGCTCTGTGTACCTTTTAATGAAAGGAAGTTGTTGAAATCCTTTCTTGGGTGTTAGAAGATTTTGCTTACCCTCACCTGGCTCCGCATTGTCTTCATGGTCTTGCTATATGACTTATGTTTTAGCCTCTCCCTTTCTCAATACCCCAGCTCTCTGTGCTGGAGAACTACTAGAGTCCATTGTACTAGAGTACAACAGTGATCAAAGACAAAATTAACTGTCACAGATACTTAATGGTCCTTGAAGTAATACAGTCACTAAACATTGCAAAATGTTCTTCTAAGGAAACGATTTCTGTGAAGTTAGTTCATGGAAATATTTAGTCTGTATTCCTGAATTGACTTGCTTGTGGATTGAGGGGTTAACAAATAGGACACCTAAGCTGAGTAAGTGCAGGGTGGGGAAGTCCTGTAGCCTTTCTGTTCTGCAGAACCCATTTTCTGTTGAGAAAGACCTGGAGAAATCTCTACTGGGAAAGACCTGGAGAGGCACAGGTGTTATGAGAGTACCTACAGAAAGCAAACAGTAACTCATGGTGCTAGATTCTGGTTCCTGTATTACTCACTGAAATTACTTCTTGTGTGGCAACTCCAACTACAGTAGCAGCCTGACTTTAGGAACCACAGTTTTCCATTTCTTCTAAGTAAGGATTTGAAATAGGTGACAAGTTCAAGGAGTCCTGTTTCACTCATATTGCTGGTACTACTTCTGTAATCTTTCAGCATCTCTGGGGCAACTATTATGATTGCTTACAAAATAGTAGGAAATTATGTAATGTTTTTTCGTCAGCTGAAAGAAAAGACCACCAGAATATTGAACTGAGCTGCATGTACAAATGCTTTGTTAATCACCTGTGATCCACGGATATGTTTGAAAGTTTTTGCAGTGGATTACATACAGCTTTGTGCACTGTTCTGAGTATGGTGCATAATCAAATGTCAATTCAGATGAAAGATATACACCTGCTTTTTTAAGACTAAATCTTCATAATATTAGCAGCATGAGGTCTAAAGATAAAGAGAGAATTAACAATATCAAAATTACCATGGCTTATCACGAGTGCCAATTTTGTAAAGCTTATGCCATCCCTACTGATTTTCAACTGTGTTGAAAATGATCTGTCTACTTCCAATGTAACAAAATTAATCTTTTACTGTACCCTTGCTGTATCCTTACATATAGGCCGTAATTATTTTGAAATCATGCTTTTTTTTTTTTTTTTTTTTGCTTTCAGTGGAGTTCTGTAGCATATCTAGAATAAGGCTGTGTTTTTGGATGTGTTACTGTGGGCAGTCATGGGAACCAAATCATAATTTCCTGTTGTATGGCTTCTCCACAGGGATATGGCATGGCATGTGTGTTGGCTTTGATATGTTATTTTGCAGATTGAAATGCTTGAAACTTGAAAGGTGCTTGAGAATGTTTTAAACTTGCTATGGAGTGTAACACTTGCATTGTGCAAACAAGAAGTTAACTGCGTATAGAACAATTGTAGTACATAGTTTGCAATTTTTTAAAAGGATGGTATAATTTTACTTAGAATATTCATATATGAAGGATGAACACATTTGTGAAAACTAATTTCTATTCATATAAAAAAGGGTTAAATGAGCATAATACGTTACTTGCAAAAATTGTTCAGCTCTTTCTGTGCTTATGGAATGGTAGAACATTTTTAAAATGCACAAAATGGTATAGTCAGCTTTATTTTATGGAAAAAATACTATCAATTCCCATGGTAATTTCAAATTAAAGCTTATTTCATGGAAAAATGTATTTAATTTGTGATGGAGAAACTTGTATAACTTTAGGCAAGCAGCCAATTTATTACTTTTAAGCATATTATCAAGGCAACTTTCTTTATTATGCTCATGAGAATATTTCTGCTCAAGTTATACATACTGCCCTAAAAGCAAAGTGTTAAGCAATACTTAACTTGAGGTAAAGATTTAATTAATATTTGTACTGCTAAGCATGCGTTTATGCATTTTGTATTTTTTTACACTCACAGTATTTACCTATTTTTAATAACAGATGAAAAAGTTTGCAGACTTAAGTGTCTCCTGTAAACTACTCAAAATTTTTACAATAAATAACAGCAGACCCATTTGAGGTGTATGAGGAGTATGGCTAATGAATCTATCACTAATCTTTTAAAAAGAATATAAAATTAAGATCACAGGCTTAGTCCTAAAATCACAGAGGAAGTTACCACTATTTTCATGGGGCTGACTGGACTACAATAACTCACAAATTCCAAAGTTAAATGCTGAAGATTCCTAAAATCGGCAAGACTTCTGCTTTTTTTTTTTTTTATAACTAATGTATAGGAATTACTTGAAATGAAGTTACTGAACAATTAGGGCTCAACTTTTATATGGAAAACTGTTATTATGCTATTAGTTTCATAATGTGAGTCCCTGATACGTGTCTTAATCTACTCAGACTGGGAGTTGTATATTAGCTATCTTTATTTTGTTTCCTTTATAAAATTTGTGAGGCCACATATTAGTTTCAAGAGGAAAACAAACAAAACAAAAAGAGCATCTAATTAAACAAAGAAAACCCACCCAGAACACTGTAGTTTAGGCAGTGTCAATGTTTGTATGTTTTTACTTAAGCTCTTGAGGAAATACAGGTGTGCCTGGATCAACCAGTGACATGTAAATTAAGTTCACTTTCAAAAAACATTGCTCCTACTCTTAATAAGAACTAAAACATTACAGAGTTCTTTTTTTTTTCTTCATAAAAACCTTAAACAGCTGAGTTAATTGGAGTGCAGTCATGAAACATTTCTTTTTGGAATATTTGTGTCATTGCCTGCATTTTTCATGAGATAACTGAACTTCAGCATGTTTCTTCTAATCTAACTTCACATTTTTACTTTCCAGTTCTAAAAGTAAGTGTTCTTTAATATTTTAAATTATAAGCAGTTAATATCAAATTTTTACTCTGGGCATTGGTTGTGTACTAAGCAGGTACCTTTTTCTATTAGAAACAGAAGTTGGGGTAGCTTTCCATATACATGTATAACTTACATTTCTTTTTCTTTGGTGAATTTTTCATGGACTCACAAGTCTAGTGTATAATACAGAATATATTTGTCTCAGGATCCTCTTAGACATGAATCCCTTCCTGTAGGTCTTATTTCCTTAGGGATCCTACCATCACTACCTCTCCAACTTGTGTACTCTATCGAAGAATTTAACCTAAGTGTGACGGACATGGGACAGATAACTCACAATACTTTGGGATTGGGTTGTTTTAAAATCAGGTTGGCAAGGCATATAAGCATGCACGTTTTTGCTGCTCAATAAAGCAGTTCATCATATTTTAAAGTTGAAGTGTGGATCAGAGTATGTTATTGAATGAGCTCCTTTGAAGTTCACTGACCTGTAGCAGATTGGGAATTTCATAGTTGACTGTACAATTAAACTTTGACTCCAGGGGATAGTTAGGTTTAAATTTCTCATTAGAAATTAATTCTTAAAGGAGATCTTTTCTTCTGTCAGTGAAGTTGTGAAGAGGTTAAATAAAAAGGAAAAAAAAAATTCAAATCCATCTTTATGCACAATCTGTCCATGTATTTATTAGAAATGAGTTGCATAAAATAATTTATCTCAGGTTCAGTTAGCTGAGTATTGTTAATCTTTGAACCTTCAGCAAACTCCTTAACTTTTTCCTAGGCTTATTCATACCAAAATTACCTTTTTCTCATTTGTTCCAGTCTCTTCTGAATTACCTTTATAAGATAAAGGCAGACAGCTACATAGTATATAGATTTATATTCTACAAAATCTCATTAGTACAGAAAGCTCACTCTCTGATGGCCGAAGTATTAAATTTGGCAACTACTGAATGCCTTTTCATACCAATAAAGTGACTTTTATTGAAAATAATTGAGATAGAATCACAGAAAATAGATGCTGAAAGGACTATTCAATTACCAAGAACACCCCTCTGCTTATTGTAGTAGGCTTGTTACTGCTGGAGTGAAGGTCCAGATTCCCAGTTGCCACATATCAGCAGAACCCCAGTGGAGCCTGCAGTACTTCTTTGGTTTATGCTATTTGTAGATTTGCCTTGAGATCTGATATAAAATAAATTGTGAATTGGAAACTGTCAAAATCTAATTCATACTGAGTGTTTAGGTCAACAAGTGTCATGTTTTACAAAATAAAGGTTGGCTAGCAGCCTAATGAAATGTGAACGTGTATCTGACTCGGTCTCTGTTGGATGCGTTTTTAACATCTTCCAGAGGAAGAGAGGTAAAAGGCATCTGGTAACGTACGGTTTCAGGGACTTCTCTCTATTATCACTAACTCTGTGGTTATAAACAAGGCTTTGGCATCTCCTCTCTCTCTCTCTGAGATTCCCTTTCTGCTTCTTGCAGAGTCTGCTACTACAGTCAGATGTAAGCAGTTCTCTAGGACTTCTGTAAATGGGAATTTCACTTTCTGATAGTTTTTTAAAAGCAAATATTATTCTTCCTGGCTTGATCTGAGCATAGTGATAACTTTGGGAAGAGCAGGCGTTATTCTCATGACCCAGTTCGGTCTGGCTTGGGAAGATTGTTTGCAGCCAATTTGGAACTCGCATGATTTGCCCTGCGAGCGGCAGCCACGTCCATCTGTTTCATCGAGTAAAGAGCCGAAACGAATGCTGATGGTGATGGCTAAAGGCGGTACAGCAATGCACAACTCAGCGACCGGTCTGAACAAGAGGGTTGCATGGACATGCTAAGGAGGCAGCAGCTCAAAGCAGCATGACGTCTGGACAGCTGGGATGTGAATGAGGAGTGAATATGGTGGTGTAACTGCACATCATGGGTACACGATGCAGAGATGGCTATGGAAAATACTCACTTGTTCACTTGATTCTGCCTCCTTTTGGCTTCAGCACCCCTTTGGTGCATAGCGGGGAAGTAGGTATGTGTGTGCAGTGGGAGGTGTGATGCTCACAGACATGGGCACTTTATCAGTGCACAACTGTACCAGACAGCTACTGAGTAGACTGATGGACAACCAATACAAATGGTTCATTAAACAGTTAATGAGCCCAGGCTCTGCTGCCCGCCCTGTTGCCACCAATGGAAGCTTTGCGCTTAACAAGCAGGGAAGGAAGGGATGGCATTTGATGTTGGCTTCTAATTGTTTGTCAGTCACTTGGGATCGAGTTAGAAATGATGCATTGGGGAGCATCCTTTTCCCTTGACAATCCCTTCATGGACATCAGGGCTTGCAAGGAGCAAGATGCGGTGTTCAGGGGGGAGATTTGGGGCATGAACACCACCAGTGGTTGACGTTTCGTACCACGTTGAGGTACCTCAGCTGATGGCCGTGCGCCCAATGCCCTGCGGGTCTCCTATTGAGGCCCAACCCTGGTGCCAGCCCCTGGTCCCCCCCCCACCGGCCCCGCCCCGCGCTCCGCCCACCTGTGACGTCACCGTGAGGAGGGGCTTCTCCTCCGCGGACTCCTCCCTCGGCATCTCCTTCATCACCATGGCCACAGCCTTATCGGCCGACCTAGCGCCTTTCCCCTACAACAGCGAAACCAACAAGGGCCTGGTCAGCGCCCGCGGGGCTGGGGGGCTCCAGCCGGCCTCCCCCAGGGCCCTGAAACACTGCCGGGAGTTGGCGAGTGGGGTCCTGGCGGGTCACTGGGGCTCGTGCTGCCCTAGTGGGGAAGTGACCCGCGGGGCCCGGGGTGTTGACGCCTCTGGGAGCAGTGCGTGTAATTAACCGCGCTGCCTGGCTTTCCTGGTGGTGGACGGAGCCAGATCCTGCCGTCATAGGCATTACTGCACTTCTTCCCAAAACGTCCTTGTTACTGAACGTAATGCAAGGACTTCTTAAACTTAATTTCCTTAAAATTCACCTAATACACTACATATTCAAGAGAAACAAAATAATTAACAACCAATTTAATATTTTAGCCAAATAAAATGCACTAATGTTGGGTCATGCTCTTCATTTAAAAAGGGTATTTATCTTGAACCCACCGCGCTGTCTTCTGATCTCTTTGACTCTTGCAAGCAGCAGTGTCTGAGTGTACTCAAGAAGCATAGCAGCAGCACTGCTCAGCGTTATGCCAGTGACCATCGCCATGTCCTTACTGTGGTACTCATAAAGCTCCCATTGACTTCAGTGGAAGCTTTAGCAGTGCAAAGACAGCAGGATCTGGCTCCATAAAAGCACTGTTTTCCACTACACTTAAAGTATTCCAACACTTAAAAACCCCTTCTGTTAATAGACTTTACTACCCCGTCATATTATAATAGAATTACTTTCACTAGTGCTGTATTTCATGTCCAATAAAATATACGTACACTGAACTATACGGTGTTTCATAAACATTTCATCAATTGCATGTAAAATCATTACATACTATTGCAATTTTAGAACAAATTTTAACTGACAGGTCAATGCTAGATTTGCTTGCTTGTGCAATGCTTCAGTTACCCTACAGAGAGTTCTTTGCATGCTGCAAGAAATTCTTGGAGCAGAAGTGTCATGAATTGTAAGCATGCTGGAGCTGTGGTGCCTTTGATATCCAAAGAACCTCAAAGTCATTGTGAATTTCATTAAACTATATTCAATGAAAGTTACTTATTATTGCTGAGTATATCAAAGGTTCTTGGTCAGTTATGTATTTAGTTGGTTCATAATTCATATGATGTATTTCAGGTCTATGAAGATCATTTCTTGTATGATGTGGAGCTATCGTTAGCTAACACTGTTAACATGCTATTTGTTTTTTTTATAACACATAGTCCTTTCGTGCTGAGTGCTAGAACAAGGTAGTTTATCAGCTAGAAAGGATGCATTGGAAAGCATGCAGTGCTTTTTATTTCTTGCAGAGTAAAAAACCCACCAAAGCAAAGGTCAGGTCACTTTTTTGAAGACAGAGCCACTTTTTCTTCAAGGTTTCACCTACTGCCTGAAAAGAGTCATGATACTCATATTAGTGCCTGCTGTTAACCTTTAGTAAACAACTCTGCAAAACCCTGGGAATGGTTGATACCATACACAACACATCTCGTCAGTTTAAAGTGGCTAGAGCATGATGTAGAACAGTAACCTGATGAATAGCAGTGCTTGCGCTACTTTTTAACGTGCAGGCATAGCACGATCGCTAATCAAAGCAAGAGGTTTGATACTACTTTTATTAGGTCATTTAGCTGTCCCAAAAGACTACAACCTGACAAAGTCAAGCTGATTTATGTGTGGCTACTCAGCCTTTGATATGAAAAAAATAATCATTCTGAAACTAGAAGTTTGTAGGCAATCTCCTGCATACCTGAGAGGCAGCTTAAATGCTCAGATTTTTAATGGAGAGAGATACAGGTGACCGATCCATTGGGAAATCCAATTGTTTATTCTGGTGACTGAAAATGGGTTTAGCTGTAAGGGTGTGTAAGCTTGGCGGTTTGGGTTGCTGTATTTGAATACTATTGTAACCGGTCCTTACCTGAATTGAATGAAGTGATAATTCATTTGTGACCAGGACAACCTTGTTACTGCTTAGAACTGCAACTGAAATGATCTCTAGAACATTTATCACAGTATTCAAACTATCCTAAGACTTTAGCAACAACTATTGAAGGATCTTAAAAAAAAATTATTTTGTATTTTTTAAATACACAAAAAAGAAGTTACTTATTTACTTGGCCTCCTTCAATATTGTGTTGTTTCTTAGTATTTTAGCTTGCTCTACGTATTCACCTGTTACAGTACCTTACTGATCAAATCCTGTAATTCTGTAACAGCCAATTTTATACTTGCCAGGTGTTTAGAATGAACAGTTTGTTGATAAGTCAGAATTGCAAGCTAAGTTATTTTCTCATTTAAACAACAGCATAATGATATAGTAAACAAATCTCATTCCTTTCCTTTTTGTCTGCAATATAGATGGGAACAGTTGTGATATAAAGCATGATAACCTAAGTATAAATCAAGAAAAATGTGAAAAGATAAAGGAAATAAAATATTTGTTTTCATAGAATGTACTACTCAAAAAAAAAAAATAAATAAAAAAAAGGAAAGAAATGCACCAGTACTTTTTTATTTGTTACACTTAGAACAGTTCCCTTAGGCGATGTCTCAAAAGCAAAACAAGGAGTAGAGTTCAGACTATTCTAATGATGCTAAATATTTATAATAGGATTTAGTAGAAAACATAATAACAATTTCTGCAGGTTTATCCTTTGGGATCAAATAATGGATAGTAACAGACATTTCCAAAGGACTATGTATGTTTGTCAAGATTTTGTAAGGAGATTTGTGAGGAAATGCTCCATTTTTTGCAGCTGGTATTATTGAATATTTCCAAATTAAATTCAATACAACTCACGCTATGTGATACTGTAATATTTAATGAGTCTTTAATTAAGTTACTCCAAGGCCATATTAATGTAGATCTTTAGGACTACATACAGTTGTGTGTGTTTTTTTAAATCAGTGAAGCACTGAGCTCTGCAACAACACCTATGTACTATAAAGCTTTATTGTAGAGTTTTGAAATTAAATGCATGAGGCCAATAGATCAACTTCAAGTCATGATGGGTACATCAATTAGAATGAATACCTGGGCATAACTTGAAATATTACTATTTGAAATGCAATATCATTCTGTAATTTTTTCATTACAGTTGTTTGTAAATTTATTCTTGTATATGAAAAGTCAATGACCAGTGCCTTGTAAATATATAATATTTTGACATCAGTTTTTAAACTATAAGTAATTATATAAATATCATCTTTTATGCAGTAGAAGTAGTTTATCTAAATATGTAACATAATTAGAAGCTGTCTTTTGACAAACATTTAAAGCACTTGAGTCTTACCTTTCAGCAATATTTCTACCAGTTACTCTTGTGAGGAAAGTGAACAGAAAAATTGTTTACATGATCAGATTATTTTTTTAAAAGTATCTATAGACAGAGAAAGAAATTCTGCCTTTACATAAGCCTGTGCTATGCTATTTACTTGTTGAGGAACTGACTGTGCTGCTGCGCCTTCACTTGATGCACTGCTATGGTGTATTGCTGTTCACTGAACTATGGGAAATGATCAGAATGTAGGCATATTTCTCCTTTTGTAAAACAGAAGTTCTAAATCTGCTTTCCTTGTAAAGAAATTTGGAAGGAAGAAAGTAATATGCAGTAAGGCATCATTCATGTATGATGTCATTACAGATTTCATGTCGTATCTCTCCTTTCCGGGTGAGGAGAAACTGGTAACTTTTATATTTATAAATGTAAAAGCCATGGGAAGAAAAAAAAAAAAAAAGACCATTTGTAATGTACTTTTCATATCAAGTTTTTGATTTGAAATGTGTCTTAGTTCAGAGATGGTGTTTGCAGGAAATGGCTAGTTAGTTTTCCAGAAATGTCTTAAACTTGCAGTCACGGTGGTGAACATAAACTGCTCTTTCAAGTCATCTTGGTTGCGCTGTGCTCTCAGATGGTCTTTACACTGAGGTGACCACAGTAAAGGTCCAACTTTAGAGTACTCACAGTTGACTGGAAAAAGGGAAGATCAAGAATATCCTTCCCATGAACAATCAGAAATCCAGTCAGACTTATGCAGGGGCTTAAAACAGGTATTAGACAGCCATTGGACTAATCATGCTCTTTGCATCGAAAGTAAACCCAATTCTTTCTATGTTCTACTTTTCAGTCCAGAACATCTTGAGGTGCTGATCTGCTCTTTGAGTATTACGCTATTTGCTGAAAAGGGAACCAGCTTCAATAGGTTGGGGAGAAGTTTTATAAAGCAAATGTTACAGAAGGTGCATTAATGGTATCGTTAAGTTATAGCAGCACTAGCCCTTTATGCTTGGAGGGAGAGCAGCTAGAACTACTGTGTGTGTTGAACTTGGGATGCTTGGCTGCTGTCCAGATCCCCAGGCAGCTGATATATTAGACTTACAGTTCCAATTAAGCAACCTATTCGGAATGGATTTATGCACTGCAAATCTTTGTGTTTTGTAGAGTTTAAAAATAAAAATGGACATGCATGGCTTTAAAATTATGCAGTGCAAACATTTTTATGGCTCAAAATGAGCATGCACAGTTAGACAGTGGTGCTGTGAGAGTTCTAGTGTCCACAGGGCTACCATGAGCTCTTGATTTCCCCTAGGATCTGTTTGTTATTCTGCTTTTTTTTTTTCTTTCTCAGGCTTTTCTGCTCATGTTTTCTCCATCTGTTTTTCTTTTCATCATCTAAGCTTTTCTACTGTTTTTAGTGGTATATATTGCATCTTATACATCATTAAAAATAATAAGCCATATGGTGAGGCAGTTCTGTGACCCACAACAAGATGGTTATTAAACAGAAAATGTTTTCATCAAGGCTGTTGGTGCATTTTTAACAAAGTGAGGTAGATATCGACCATAAAGGGGGATACGTAATTCTTTTAGGGAAACTTTGTTGAGTGTGGTGCAGAGATATCTGAACCAAGCTATATATTCTGAACTGGAAGCAGTATTGTCAAGATAAACCAGCTTTCAAGACCCAAGCTAGTATTTCCAATGTTGTACTTACATCCTTTGGATCCTCTTAGAAAGTTTTCTGTTAATGGTGGTCTAACTGCTTTTGACCAAGTTGTTCATTCTTCTGACAAAATACAGGTAGTGCTGGCTACAGATAAGGAACTGGTATGGAAAGACTTGCCCAATGAATAATTTACAGTAAAGCAGCTAAATCCATATTGGCTGAGTTCTAAGTGTACTGCTCATCTTTCATTCCTTTCTTCTTCATTCCAATTTTGATGGAATAATTTAGATTCCAATATTAATATTGGGAGACTTTTTTTTTTTTAAAAAAAAAACTGCATAGGAGGAAAACTGGCAAAGAAAGATAATACCTGATAAAAAGAAATCACCACATTCACATTTACCCTTATTGGATTGTGCCTTGTGTCCATTTAAATGTCAATACTGTGGTTAAATTGCATTCCACTTTGAAAAGCATTTGCATTGAAATGGCATTGTTAGGTTTTCTGTTTCTTTGTCCATTGGTAGCTGTTGCATTACATGTGCTTCCTTTAGAAGTTGTCATTTTGATGCCTATAGATTCATTCTGAAAGCCAAGTGGTACCGCTTCCAAAGCATCTCCAGTGAAAGCTCTGCAAAACCCACTTTGCTCTAAAAAAGTTAAAGTTATTTTCCTTAATGCATCTGAAAAGATAGTATGACTGGAAATTGATAAACAATTTTGTCAAATTAACTCATTTTCTTTCAACTAGTCTGATTACTGCAGGCTAAGAGGATGAAGACACAAACTCTTTTTTTTTTTTTTCTCTCAAGTTAAAAGGTTTTATTCAGAATATACATAGGGGTCACACCTATTGGGTAAGATCAAGCTTCCCAACCTTTGAACAACAGTGTTGGTCTAGCTGTAAATAGTAAAATCAGCCTGTAATTTAGGGTGAGGTCTGGAGCAGAGTTAACTTGTGAGGTTGTTTAAGGTTCTGGTCCTTTTGTGAATGAGTTACATAAGGTAGCTGCTTGTGATAGCAGGCTTGGGCAAGGTGCTTTGCAATCCTTTCTTTCTATATAAGCGTCATCTTTTATTAAAGCCATTTTGGATATGTAGCAGTATTTTTCTTCAGTGCTTAGATTGACTTCTTGATAATTTTGAACTGTATTATGAAAAGGGTGAGTCTTCTGACTGCACAATTGCATTTGACTTCAAAAATTTAAGGGAATAGCTGGGAAATTTCTCTTGTCTCTGCTTAGTCTGTGTTAAGAAACATTTTTAAAATAACTGGGTGTATCAATTGGCAATTTCTAATTTGCCTGGTCATCTTCAGCAGAGAAAATACTGAAATATTTTGTTTTTTTGAATTAGGATCCACTCTATGTTGACTTTAGTGTCATGGGTCTCAATCACAGCACACAAATAGTAACTACAGAGTTGGTTTGTTATTGTCATTATGCATGTGCTGAATTAGAATAAGGCATTCCCCTAGTACTAGTTCAAATTAAAATCAAGGTGCTCAGATCACTTCCAAAATAACCAGATTAGTGACTAATATACAATATATGTTCATTGTTCACATATGTGAACTGTTGGGCCTCAGACTTCACACGTTGTTTTTGAAATGATAATTTAAATTCTGATTCCTAATAAAAAATGTTATCTGAGATATGTGTGCGTGTTGAAACTGATAGTTTGTAAAAACAAACAAAAAAAAAGTGAGAAAGTGAAATCTGTCTTTAAACATTTGGTATGCATATCTTCTATTTAATAATGTGCAATATTTCAGCACACAGGAAAACTGGAAAGGAGATAATTTTGCATAATATTTTCAGATAGGAGCTGGGAACATGCTTTAGCAAACTTTCCTCATCTTCCTTTGCTGGCTCACAACCCCAGATACGTTTCAGCTGCTAAGCTAGTTACTGGACCATAAATACTGAATGGAAAATTTATTGATAAATCTATAAGAATTCTTATCAGCATACAGAAGTATGCCCTCTTCCGCATGTGGTTCTTAATATGCCTTATATGTTGAAGACATGTGGAGGCATGAAGAGTTGGCCTCAGCCATTTTTCCTTCTTTTAGGTGAGGTCTCTTTCAGTAACTAAAGGGCTAGAAGTTCAATCATCAGTAAGATTTTTTTTTTTTAAATTTTGCCTTAAAACAGACAGCGAAGACTTCAGTATTTGATGTAAAAAATATATTTAAGAATTATTTAAGTTTTTATATATTTTCCCCTATAAAAATCAGTTTGTTTTTTTTTTTTAGGGGGTAGGTAGAACTCAAAATAATTTCAGTTCTTTTACACCCTGCCCCTGATGCTGAGGATGTTAATCCAGAATGACGAGTAATCTATTCAATACAGCTGAAATCAATTTGGATTATAAGAGGTAATCTGTGGGGATGTAGAACTTTTGTATTACTGCTAATGCTCTTCAAGATGTAATGCCGCAGCTCAGCTAAACACAGAATTGATGGTACAGTTGAGTAACTGTGACAGTTAAACAAAAAAGCTTGTGCTTTTTGTTAAAGAATTGTTTAGGGAAAAAAAAAGAAACCGAGCAGGTATTTTTCAATGTGGAAAAATCAGAGGTTTATCAAAGTCCAAGAATAAAAAAATAGTCCTCCTTTGTAGGAAATTCAGAATGTAGAACATTGCTCTGAAGTACCTGTTACTTACAAGACAAGGTTCTGTGCTTGTTTTGTATAAAAGTTTAATAGGTTAAAAAAGAAATTTGATGTGGTGGTAGGGTAGCCCTCAATGAAACCAATAAATGTTCTTATTTAATGTCAGAAGGTAACTGGAGCTACAAAGCTTGAGACAAACATTTAATTTTGTGCCTGCTTACTGCAAATGTTTAGAGATGTTGGGAATCTTGATATGTGCAGGTTTTGCTTGGATCTGCTTTTGCAGTATCTCTGCTTTTAACTCTGTTGCTGTTAGAGAAAGGTTCCTGTGCTCTCACATATGGTGTCCTGAAAAGCAAAACTTTGCATTATTAATAATAAAGCAAAAGCAGTGCTGACCAGAGCAAAGTGTCAAGTGAGTTATGGCAGGCATAGCTTAAAAGTTGCTGCTGATTATTGGGAGAAAAAAAAAAAAAAAAAAAAAAAAGATAGTGCCAACTGCTACCTGG